CGTACAGCGCTGCGCCCGCCCCGCTCCACCTCCATGTGGCCGGCTCGGGAGCGCGCGCTCCGACCACCCCGTCCCGCGGCCCGGCTCGCTCAGCGCCGCTCTGTATTCAGGCGGCGGGGGCCACCCCACTGGCTGCTCGCGGTCAGCTGCTGAAGGTCAGAGGTTGTCGGGTCAGAGACCCGCGACGCGTCTGTCGCCTAGAGCCCACGTTGCCGGCCGCCAGCTTTGCTTTGAGCTGCGTCGCGTTGTCGCGTCGGCTGGGTGCAGCACGCTGGATACAACGAGTCGTTGGAAGAGAACCCAGTGTATTTAGCATGGACGTGGAGTGCACCGTCCTAAAACTGCACGCTTGGCGTTTCCAGGTGTGTATATTGCTTAAAAAATCCGTTAAATTTTATCTTCACCACTGCCAGTTTCATCGGTTTCATAACCTGCGTCAGCAAATTGAAGACGTTTTTGCGAACCCCTGCCTAGTTAACACCCGTTTTATTTAAGTACAGCGATCAGGCGCCATTTGTGAGCTACAACGCTATCTGAATTGAATTAAATACGCCTTGTGTTGAGCTGAAAGATCGCGTTCATCAAGGTTTATTTCCGCGATGTAAAGGTGGCCGAAATCAAGGCACGCGATCATTGAGATGAAATGAAATAATACAATGCTGTGCTAGATCACTCAAGTCACGTTTGACACTGAACGTGTATGACCTGCGTGTCAAACCATACACCAATGCATTTGGAATGCGTTTGACGCGACGGTATCGGCATGCTGCAGTATTTATACAGTACTGTACGTAGTTTTCAAGGCTTAACATGACATAGCCTCGACCATGAATTGCTTCACACCCCCATCGGCACAGACAATCGTTTTCGTTCGTTGTATAACGGATTTGGTGGCTCATTTTACCGCAGCATTAAGATTTGACCTGATGTAACCTTAGCGTCAAACCACATTCACAAAGCTCACAGCCAATGCAGGTGTTTCTTATGCCGTCAATGTGCGCCTCTAATGCTGTTGGAAAATAATATTTGGTGCACAGAAAGTTAAACGTACGCCGCAAAGCGCTGACTTTTCACGTTTTCACCACGGAGGCCTTTGAAAACAGGGTCATAGGTCATGAACGTGGCAAGTTAGAGCATTTAAATTTGCAGTCAGTTGCAAAGGTTTGGAATTCAGCAGGACGAAATGTCATTATGATGTGCTGAACGGTTCGAGGCCTTTAAAAGTTGCAGGCGATAGGTGCCAGCCCGATCCGGTCAGTGCTGAATGGTACTCTTGTTGAAATATGTCATGCATTTGGTAGCCCGGCTTTATGGCATCAGCGCTGCTAATTTCACCATGACGCATATTCAAAAATAGCTGGGGTCCTACGAGCTATCTTTCTATCTATCTATCTATCTATCTATCTATCTATCTATCTATCTATCTATCTATCTATCCATCTATCTATCTATCTATCTCTCTCTGTGTGTATATATATATATATTTATACATATACATATACATATATATATGCATATATACATATATATATATACATATATATATATTATATATATATATATATATTACGGATCGTGTTTGCGATGATTGCATCTAATCTTGATCACTTCTTCCGTTTAAAGGAGACGGATACTCTTCTCTAGAATCAAGTTACAGTGAATGGCTAGACACCCTTGTGTTCGTCCAGAAGACCTGCCATCTTCCTGGTATTCTGCCATCACTATGGCTGATCATTGGCAGTTACTCGATAAAATACGTCGGTTTGGGACCAGCCGTGACTGGTCAGTTTTAGACCCAGCGGTCCGTAATTTGAATGAATGGGTCATGCTCATCAAATTAGCGTCTTTTAGATGGATCTGAGCGGACGTGAGAGCTATATTTGCGTTCATTGGAACAGGGATACACTCCTGCCAAATACCAGGCGATATTTACTGGGGTGTAAGCTATTAACTGGTGTGAAATATGACACACAAAAAATAGTAACGCCATCGCAGCAAGACGGGGCAAATTTCCATGCACTGAAGGTGCTCACCAGCCGCGAATTTTGCAAAGGTTGTGTGACGTTTAAAGTGAATGAGGTCGAATCAAGCAAATAAAAGTATCAAATAGAATCGCGATGACGTTCCAGGAATCGCGCACTTCAGCAAACTTCAGAAATGGAAAGCATATTTTAAATCATCGAGTGTCGGGCTTTCAGAAGATGTGCTGATGTTCGTCGTACATTACGCGCATTATCACCTAATCGGGGCCAACAGACGACCGCGCTGTGCACCAGGGCGGACTTTGCAGGTGTTTCTCCCCAGCCAATCCCAGGCCGGTGGACATTGTACCATCAGAGTTACGGTCAAAACGAGCCTGACCTGACAGCGGAATCAAAACGAGCCTGACCATAGTTGCGATCAAAACGAGCCTGAATCGACGGTCGAATCGGGTTCGTGTCAACGTGTGGGAGATTTGGGCGCCACGGCCAAGGTGTTTTGGCTGCGCCCTCGTCGTCCATTAAGCAAATTCGTTTTGGTTTGTATGCTGACACCATACCACTTTTAACAGCGATGAGAACGAGAATCTTTAAATCTGAAATCACATCTATCTGCGTTCGTGGGCACCACGCTCTTGACCCGATCCTCCTCGCCGCCCTACCCCGCCACACAGAGCGGCGCGGCTGGCGCGTGGGCGGAGCGGAGGCCGGCCAGAAAGGTGGCTTTGATTCGAAGAGCCCGACAATCGCCTGCCGTCGTCGGGCTCCAATAGAGGGCCATTTGTTTCTGCGGTGATCGCCGGCGGCTCCGACGGCCCAGCTATCTCCGGTCATCAGTCAGCCGCGACAGCAGGACGGAATCTGGCGAGCGGGCAGCCGCGGGCGCCGGCCAGAGCCGACGCCACCTTCTGATCGTGTCACCGGCCCCCCAGGACCGCGCTAATCCCGGCCGCGGCCTGACGCCGCCGCGGCTGGGCCCGCAGATACGGTCTGGAGAGAGCTCCAGGGCTAGGAGGCTATCAGGCGTCAGCTCCTGGGGTCAGACGTACCGTGCGACACGAGCATCAGCATCCAGAAGACTCAAGATCCAGGAGCCTCAGGAAACGGGAGACGCGGGGTCCAGGAGCCTCGGGATCCAAGAGCCTTAGGATCCAGACATTCCGCCCGATACTAGCCCCAAGTATACGGCACATCATCTGACGTGAGATTTAGGACCCAGAAGCCTCAGGATCTAGAGGGCACAGGAACCAGGCATTTTCGCCCGATTGGAGCACCAAGTACGGGGTACATCACCTGACATCAGCTTCAGGAGCTTTAACACCGGGTTTGCGTGCGTCCCAGAAGCCAGCTACGTCGAGCCAGCTCTACAGCACGACAGGAATTCCAGGAGTAAGATAGGCCGTGCGACATGGCCCCCCGAACAGCAAAGTATTCTGTCAGACATGAATCCCAGCAGACAGGTACGCCTAGCATATCGGTTTGCCAGCCAGGTATGGCCTAGCATATCGGTATGCCAGCCAGGTATGGTGTCCGATAAAAACTCCAGGAGATAATGTAGGCACCTTCATACATGGTCTTTTGGAGCCAGGTGTACTATATACCGTCCATATGAATTTAGGGAGCCAAGCCAACTTACCGTCATGGGCCCAAAAGCCAAGTTTGCCTTTCGGCATCAACCCCAGAAGTCAAGCACACCCTACGACATGATCCCCACGAGCAAGGCATATTGTCCACCACGCCTCGCCACGCCCTGCCCCGGGAGGTGGGTACGCCAGCCGACATCAAAACCAGGGGCTAGTATACCATCCAACAAAACCACCAGTAGCAATACGTATAGTCCCGCGTGACCCAACGACTCAGGAAGCCCTCCATGTGCTTCAAGAACCAGGCACATCATCCAACGTGCCCCCAGGAACTGATTCCATTGTTGTTAAGGGTATCGCATCTGGCATGGGACAAATGACCAGTGCGCCCATTATAAAGGTGTTTTATTTGTGCACGAGGTGGCAGGCAGTATCTAATCTAGTGTCGGACGGCCAGATGCTGATCTCATGCCGCTACAGCAGGACATGTCCGCTGCATGCTGATATGTTAATGACGTCAGTTTTGGGGGATCCTAGTGTTAAAGCCATCCCAAATAAATCGATAGCATGATTGACTCCTATGGAGGCATTCAACATTCATTTCGGGTCGATTCAAAATGAAACTGCCAGCATACAAAATAACTTGACGTAAGACAGATAATACAGTATTAATAGCCTTACTCCTCGTAGAATAACCAGGAGAATGGAGAGATGGATGTTTTGCATGAATGTATGAACGTCAGGGCAGATGTAATACATCCGTTTTTTTCATTCTCATGATTATTGTACAAGGAATGAGGCTATTTATACTATCTTATCTGTTCCATAATATTCTTCGCAAATGCATGTAACCACTTGCATAACTTGATATAGGTAAAAAAGACATGCAGCTCCTGGTTTTTGGGCACCGTGAGCCCAGATTTCAAATGCTCAGACAACGACCTTTAATATACCTGTAGGCACTGGTTAAACGACGTTATAGATTTACGAAACTCAGCGCTTCAAACTGTGCTTATTATTGCGAGTCACTCGTTGAATTACTACCTCCTGATATATTGAAGATTGATCGATAACCCAGCTATGAACTAACACATGACACGAACAAATCTCCACTCCTGGCCACTTCTGAGTTGCTTCCACTAGCTGAGGGTGGGAGCGGAAGGGGGGCGTAGATACAGCGCAGGTTGGCAGAGTAGCTATGCCACTTCAATTGCTCTACGTGCGCCATATCTGGTGATAAATGTAGTATGACTGAGTGTGCAAACCCGCCTGCATGGCTGGCAGCCGGTAGTTGCCTCTCAGGATCCCAGTGTCCTGTCCGCGACTGTGTGTTTGTAACCGGCTATGTGGGGCTGCTGGTCTGTCTGCAGCTGTGTGTCCGAGGCCGGCGTCCCGCCCATAGCCGCCCGCTGCTCTCTCCGGTGTTGCCAGCACTCACCGGTAGGTGGCGAGCGGTCCTCCAGCTGCGACTGCCGCTGCAGCTGGGCAAGCTGCTCGGCCATGTCGTCCAGCTGGCGGCGCTTCTCGGCTAGGCCGCGCAGCCGCTCCTGCAGCTGCTCGGCCGCGGCCGCGTCCAGGCCCTCCAGCGGCAGCGACTGCAGCGCCGCCACGCGGGCGTTCAGGCTCGCCAGGGCACTGCAACCTCGGCCGAGACCCGGAGCGTGAGGCAGCCGCCGCGACCGGACTGGGGCGGGCGGCTCCCACGGCCGGCACGGGCAGCGGTCAGGCGGGTCCCAGGCGAGAGGGGCCTCACGTTAGTGGAAGTCTCAGGCGACAACAGTCTCGCGTCAAATGATTTCAGGTCAGAGGGTCTTAGGCCAGAGAGGTCCTAGATCAAAGGAGTTTCAGATTAAAGGGGTTTCAGGTCAGAGTGGTCCCAGGTTAGGGTGGCCTCAAGTCAGAAGGATCTCAGGTCTGAGGGGTCCTAGGTCAGAAAGGTCCTTGATCAGAGGAGTTTCAGTTCAAAGGGGTTTCAGGTAAGAGTGGTTCATGTCAGAAGGATCTCAGGTCTGAGAGGTCCCAGGCGGGTGGGTATAATGACGGAGACGGAGCTGCAGCGCTACGCCACAAGCCCTTTAACCCTCGAGGTCCGAGTGCAGTTTTTGGCAGCCGTTCAGCCAGTCATAATCCACACAACGATACGAGCTCGGAGTTCGGCGGGGAACGAGTAGATAGTGGGAAATGCGATCGTTGACGAGCTTTGGGACTGAGGAAGTTGTAAACTTTAAGAAGTGATGGAGCATTCGGTTTGTTTTACGATGCATGTACGAGTGGTTTGAGTCGACGCTCAGAATAACTATGCAGTGACAGGGTACCTCACGGGGAGTGTGTCAAACCAAGCAATACAAAGATAAACCACCGAATTAAAACACACCAGTGCAAGCACAAAGCACTGAAAGGGGACGAAAGAAGTTGCCTATTATCTGCTGTCGACACCAGGCCTTCTCGCAAGGCTCCGTCACACTGGTCGGCTGCGTGTGCCGGACACGAACATCGCGACACGTAGCATACCTCCTGTCGGGCGCAGCCGTGGATTCCCAGTTGGTGGCATCAGCGGCCGGATGTACCCCTGGCATGTCGTGCAGCAGCTCCTGCGCCTTCTCCTGCGGCCGCCGGCAAACGGTCGTCAGCGCCGGTGACCCGCCTCACTCGTCCAAAGTCACACGGGTGAGCAGCATCCTGTCTTCACACAGACCCCGCTGACGCATCAAACGGTCTCGGAAATGAACGCATTTTTTATTTGGCTTAAGGCGTTCGCCCCATTTAGGCCATTCTACGCCTTCAAAAGGTGACGGGGCATACACATTGGAAATACATAGTGGAGCATCTGAAATGATACACGAAGCATATGACATGAACCGTATGAAAGATAGCCGGTTACTTATGGTCTCCCGTATTGCTTTAAGCATGTCAGTAAGGCGGTGGAAATGGAAAAGGGGACTCAACAGCTGTAGGTGATCGTCATTCAAGAAAATCTTTAAAGACAATTCAACACTGGACCAACCATTGGCCTCCACAATATTCGACTCTTGCTGAAATTCGCCGCATTCAAGTAAAATATGTCTAACCGAATGGAGACCGTCACCACGGGTGTGATATTTGGGGACTAAACTGATGTGTGCCACCGCACACACATAAACACACACAACACACACACACACACACACACCACACACACACACACACACACACACACACACACACACACACACACAAACACACACACACACACACACACACACACACAACACACACAACACACACACACACACACACACACACACACACACACACACACACACACACACCACCGCACACACACTCACACACACACACACACGCACACACCACACAACACACATATATATACATATATATATATATATTATCTATATACATATATTACATATATATATATATATATATATAATAATATATATATGTATATAAAGTTCGCGTGTGCCTAGTGTGTCCGGTCCGAGGGCGTGTTAATATCTGCTCCTCTAAACAGTGCACGAACAACCTACTTATGTCACGGTGTCAGGCATGACGTTAGGCAATTGGATCCTTTAATGATCCGCGTCATTTGTTGCTGTCAAACGCATTTTGTCAAAGTATAGATAGAATACTCTCTGGTGACATGAACGAGGATGACTGTAGTGTGAGAAAAATGGTGTAAAAGCATCTTTGGCCAGGTGGTGACCCCGCTCATTCCCTGCAATGCCTCCAATGGCTTGGAGCTGATGGAAAATCAACGTTCGAGCCCTGTGTGCATAACAGATGGCTTATACTGATAATGATGACAAGGAGGTGGCGAGTGATATTTAGGTAAACAAGTGGGTGCAGTACCGCCTAGAAATAAGAGCAGATCACCACCATTCTCGTGCTACGATTATGTTCTTGGATGTGTTGTAATGAAATAAGGAAAACAATCAGCTCCGCGAAGTACACACTGAAGTGTCATCCGGTAACTAACATTTGTCAGAACGTCGTGTGGCACAAAACAAGTTTGTGAGAGTAGTAAGTGACACCGAGTAACAAGCATTCGGTGTGGTCGCCAGTCTTCGAGCCATCGCTGTAAGGAAAGCGACAGCTTGGCTATGTGGCACTCAGGCGATTCAGTCTCTGTTAAACATAAGCTGTTGTCACCGCGCGGCTGAGGCCATTAAGAACAAACAGCTTTCCGTGGTGTTGGCTACCAGGGTGGCACGACAAGAGCGCGTGGCGCTTGGGCCCGCGGCAGAGCGGTTCAGTCAGTTGCAGCAGAGGCTGGTGTACAGCGGAACTGTGAGACCCGACCTGCGTCCCGATGGTCCTACTCAGCCTTAGGGGGGGGGGGGGGTCTGAGCCCCTAATGCTGAGTTGAGACCACTTAATGCTCTTCTGACCGGATGGCCATTGACCGGATGTGCTACAACCAGCTGAATTTGTGATTTTCTTTAGTTTTCCTATGGTGAGTTCTCACGAGTTTCCCCGTCCCATGAGAAATCCGGCATTGATGCCATGTAACCATACGGGATAATGGAAAGAGCCGACCGCTCGTAAGACGAATGCAGCGTAAGCCGGCCGGCGCTGTATCATGACCCACATCCGCACCTGAAGACGTGAATCGCTTCACACACTCAGAGCGAACATGCTTCACTTGTGTACACATCGATGGTCTCGGATCAAGAGCGTTGACAAGAAAACTGAACGACGGAGAGGAGGGACATGGTGGTTGTGGAGATGGAGACGAGATGATGGCGTGACTAACAGTTTCTCGCTGGAAATCATAGCGGCATATTTTTTCAGCATAGAAGCAAAGATCGTAGAGGATTTTAAACAGGGCTTCTTGTGGGCATGGCAGCAAATGGTCCAACGCGATGACGGTACGCCAGACTGCACTATCATCGGCAAGGAGTGGAGAGAAAATGCATGGAGGGAGGCTTTCAAATAAGTGATCCCTATCAAAGTTGGATGGCATGGAAGAGACGAAACTTTCCAATGAGAGTCCGTTCTCCAAGTGGTGGTTGTCGGAAACGGCCGAACCGCTTCTCACACAAAGCGGTCGTATCCCGGATAGCAATCCCACCAGATTGCGGCACAAATGCCCGCTAAATCCCAGCCGATGAAGTTTGAAAGTGAGGCAAGTTTCAAGACCATCGCATGGCAACAACTGATAGCGAGAGGCGCAGTAGTAGTGTGACGCCTTTGTCGAAACGCGTAATGCGAGTTTCGAGTTGGTTGGTGTAATCAACCGGGGTACGATGCCGACGACAATCACATTTGCGGTACGACATGGTGGGAAAACGAGGCCACGTGTGTGCGATCAAGCCTGCCTTGTATCCGTGCTGGTATTCAATCAACCAGAAAAGGCGTTACTCCTCCATGCATTCTGAAAGCTGAAAAAAGAGCTCGTGAACGGAATTGCACGATAGATTGCACGGCCCTGTGTGTCCTTCTCGGGCTTAGGCAGAGGAATAAGTGTGTCCGGACATGGGAAGACCACAGATCGTTCACAACGGTAAAATAAATTGAAGCATGTTGCCAGATAAGTGGCGAAAGAATGAATCATGAAACTTGTCCTGGTCTATCGAAGTGTTAGCGCTGGCATCAATTGTACATCGTAGTTCCGGAAAAAACTTTGCTATCATATTCCGCGTCCTTAGAATAACAGGAAATAGGAGGTTAATAGCATCGAAGCCGCGCATGACCCCTAAGGCTGAACTGTAGTCATCGGAGGAACTACAATAGGCGAGACTCTTGGTGGAATCATACGGGGTCAGTGGCGCTTGAGTATCGAACCAAAACGTCTATTCAAAGGGCTGGAAGCTGATAATGCAGGTCGCTCGCCAGAATTTCAACGAACTAACCGATCAGCTCATTCATGGCAAACAGACCGGTGTCTCACTGCTGTTTGTCCTTGAATGTCGTCAGACGATGGACATGGCATACGCGCTTTGATGCCGGGCCAGAATCTTATCCTCACTCACATACTTGAGCTCAGGGGTGAAAACTATACGTGTGGTCGTATTTCAGGGGTAGTGCAAAGAGACCGTGGTTGCTTTACGAGAGGACTATGCAGTCTTCAGAGGAAACTAAGTCTAGACATGGCTCTATGGTTTGATCACTAGGAAACCATTCGTCTGTAGCTTCGGAGCTTCAATCTGAAAGTTGCATGAAACGCGAATGGCCTCAGCCTGCTTTGACCACCACAAGACGTTGATCTTCCTGGACGAAGTATTCTGACCCCATGAATACACCACCAGGCACGAGCTGGGAGAATCTAGAGTGGACACGCGAGCGAAAAAAGGGCATCAACTAAGCAGAACAGAGAACGACAGCAGTAACTGTGTCCGCTCCAGCCAGGCGGCGCGGTCTGTAGCAAGTACAAGCACCGGATGCCATTTTGTCTCCCCCGTGCAGCAGCGCGTCGTCGTAGCGTCGTGCGGTGTTCTGGGCACATGATGGTACACTTGTGAGAGCACGACATCAATTACCACGCGTGTGACCGGTTCTAACCCACCTGCAGTCCCATCCGGTTGGCCCTGGCTTCCGCCAGTTTCCACTCCACGTTCTCCTTCATCATGCGCAGCCTCTGCTGTTCCACCTCCATGGCACGCAGCTGCAGGCACAACACATCACCACCGTTACCGCCGCCGTGCACATAGGCGTTTATGGACGATAGCAGCATGATAGTGGGGCGTCGATTGGCTGATGACCACGACGTACAATGGCATAGACGCGATCGTGGATAGAGAGAGAGAGAAGAGAGAGAGGCGAGAGAGAGGAGAGTAGATGAGAGAGAGAGAGAGGAGAGACGAGAGAGAGAGAGAGAGAGAGAGGAGAGGAGAGAGAGAAGAGAGAGAGGAGAGGAGAGATGAGAGAGAGAGAGAGAGGGCAGGGAGGGGAGAGAGGGAGGGGGGAGAGAGGGAGGGGAGAAAGGAAAGAGAGAGTTCGGATAGGGAAAAGAGGAAGAGAGGAAGAGATGAAGCAGCGAGGCAGGACAGACTGACAGGAAGACAGAGATGAGGAAGGGAAGAAGGGAGGAGGAGGAGGAGGAACGAAGTAGGACCCCAATGTTCCTGACCTTTCGTGTGACTGGTTTATTCGGCTCAGCAACTCCCGCTTCTTCTCGTAGTTCGCTCTGTCCTCGGGGTCCAGCTCTGCCACCATCTGCGAACAGCATTCGTTTAGCTTCGACGGGCAAATGAGAGCAAAAACTGCCCTGGTAGCATGTTTCCATCGTAACACCACCGTCTAACAAAAGAAATGCTTTTCGTCGAATAATATGTAACAGTTTGAAGAGATAAACGTCACTTTTTAACAGCGTGGGGCTATGCTACACATGCCAACATGCCACACAACAGCTGACGGATTGAGAACAGCGACCTCTGGTAGCGGCCGGTCCGAGATCTAGCGTGCACACCTGGACGATGCCGGCCCACGACACGACAGCACTGACCTCTGGCGGCAGTTCGCGCGTCAGCTCGTTGAAGTTGGCTTCGCTCCTGGCGGCCGTCTCGGCAGCCAGTGCCCGCTCCCGGCCCGCCAGCGTGCTGGCGCGGTTCTGCAACATGGACCAATTGACCACTCTGCAACACACCGCAGCCCACCCACGCCAGTGAGGCCGGAGGGTTCACGTGCAGCTTGTCACTTGAGGGGGCTCATTCAGGTGATGTGAGGCAACACGTAGCAGCAGCGTCCTTTAGCTCGAATGGGCGACTTTTTGACGTTCCCATAATGATGCGAGGTATTCATGTATAGGGCCTTCTCTTACCTTCAATTCTAGGGCATCAGAGAATTCCACGGGCATGAGAAGAACGGAGCTTCCAGCTACGAGAAAAGCAATATGGAACATCGAGTGAATTTTAACAATCGCCATCGCTTAACACAATTTGACGACCCAAGACGAGTGAGAAGTGAGAGACGGCTGCAAGACGTCCGCTGACAGACCGGTTGTGTACTGACCCACCTTACAGCGGAAAACGCCTCATGGCGGATGCGTCACCATCGGCCCAAGGGTTTCGGTGACGTGCTGGGTCTGCAGAACCGGTTTCGGGCACCCACCTCGGACTCCTTGAGCTTCACTAGCAGCTGCTGCAGGTTCACGGCGTTCTGCACCAGATCGGCTCGAGTGGCGGACAGGGTCTCATAGCGTTCTTTCATGTCCTGCCGGCCAGCCACCATTCTTACTGGGTAGCGACATGACTACGAAGCATCGAAGAGGGCGTCGGTAGCGTGGTTGTTTCACTGCGCATGTGGGAAACCAGAGACAATGGGTTCGATTTTCCGCGGTGGCCACTGCTCCTGTCGGAGTGAGAGGCCGTTCCCTTCGGGGTGAGAGGCCCTTCCTGTCGGGGTGAGAGGGGTGCGAAGGGTGAGAGAAGTGAGAGGGGTGAAAGGGGGTGAGAAGTGTGAGAGGGGCGACGCCAAAAAGCTCAGGGTGAGTCCGTGGTATGACCCCGATGACAACAGCATCAACGCCATCGCTCAAGATGACGGACATGCCCTGACTGTTTCAAGACAAACAACAGCGTTGACAGACACACAGACAGAGAACTGTGCGACAACCGTTTCAAGACAGCAAAATCGTGTTGCTCCTTTTACAGAATCAAGACGCTGCCTGCAGAATCAAGACGGAATGTGTGAAGCGATGGGCCGATACACACGCTCACCGGCACGTCTTTCAGCTTGCTCATCATATCTGACGAGGCGCTGATGTAGGACTTGAGCTTGGCTATCTTGGCCTCCAGATCCTGGCGGTCGCGACGGATCCGCTCCAGCAGAGGAGCCGGGCTCCGCTGAGGCTCCGCCCCCTCCACGTGCTCCTCCTCCGACGAGACGAGGCCATTGGCCCCCACGGAACGCTCCGGCTGTCGAGACGGAATCAGAGTGCGACGAGCGATGGGACAGGAGGCTCCTGCCTGTCGGCACGCGCCGAGAGCTCCGGCCGACTCAGACTGGCCAATGACAGTTAAGGTGGTCGGCGTGACGGGCGAGAACACATGCCCCTGACGCCCACTGAACGCATCTCCTATCAAATCGAACTCGGGGGCCGGGATAAAAGCTACCCATTCTTACTTTGATCACCCACATGCGAAGTAAATTCAAACAGGGGGTGCTCACTACAGTCAAAATCTGGGCTGACACAAGGGTCTGCTGCGCTCCACGGGATTCGAGCCGTAATTCCCCGGATACATTGCGTCGCGGAGCTGGAAGTGATTCCGCAGCAACAGAAGCGAGTGCAGCTCCGGCCCGCCGCCAAGAGAAGAGTCGCATCACCCGTCCAGTGACAGGTCGGGGCAGACGGTGGCGGTCATCTTGGCCTCACGTGTCCCAGGCGCCGGCGTCACTGTCCCACCGGCGGCTTACCGAGGAGGCGGCCGCGTCCACCTGTCAGTACTCACCACGAGGGCGGGCTTGTCGGCGGCTCCGGAGGACAGTTGGGGGTCCACCATGGCTGCGACGTGGATGAGAGGCGAGCTGCCGACAACACCAGCCAGCCGTCAGCTGCCACAGTGTGGGGGCACAGGCGTCTGGGCTACAGCGAAGCAGAAGAGCAGGCTGACCCTCTTCAACGGTGAGACGCGGCTTTGCATTATGCAGAGGCTATGTCTTTACGGCGGCTCCCGAAGCTAATGAGTTTTCCCGAGTGGCTTGTGGGTTGGCGACTCGAAGGACCAACTGGGGGTGTCCCATTGTCAAGATTTGGCGACGTTTGCAGGGTTGCACGTGCTGAACGTGCCAAGAGCCGCTAGGCTACGCAACGTGCCGCTAGGCTATGCCACACGTTCGAAAAGCGCTGCTCTAAAACAAGCCGAACGCAGGTGGTGGATGGCGGAGTCCTGAGGTCTCCTCGGTCGCGCCCCTAGCACGCCCGGGACCCGCTGTGGCCCACCAGCGCGGCGCCATCGGCCGCGGCCTGAACCCCCACAAACCGGAAGTGACTCTAGCGACTGTGACGTCATCATCTGGGTCAAACAAACACTGGGCAGTGTCAGCGCGTAAGAAGAATACACGAGCGCAGGATGCGCGGACACGCAAATGGAAAAGAAAACCGACCCAATTCGTGACCAGCCAGACGGAATGGCGTGGTACGTCCGGCACGCTGGCATCAGCGCGAGGTGCGTCTTTGGCAGGTGCCCCGGCATCAAACATTAGTCACCGGCAAGTTTTCAGACACGCTGGTATCATGCTGGGGAACAAACACACTGGCTGCTATCAGTTATGCAGACTATTACTGGACTGTGATGTCGTGGTGGATAATGTATAGCGCCACCATTGATCTCAGAGTGGCTTTCTGAGAGCAGCTGAGCCTTCCATGCGAGATGTGCAGACTCGAGATAGGCTACAATGGATGCCAAATATTTCTCAGGCATATTGCTGCCTACCAAATATGGGCACCGAGTAGGTATACTCGCTTATGGCGGAAGCCACAATGATGTGACGTTACGACGAATAAAATGAACAGGACTGCTGTAGCAAGCCAAACTGCGCGATCAATGAGCATTCAACACACGACACGGCGGTGACCGGTCTACATCAGTTTGCCGGCCGTGCGGACGGCATCACCGGCCAGAGAACAGCTGGGCCCGAGAACAATCCGCACGTAGACACTCACCAGTCGGCCGCGGAGGAGAGCGCGGCGAGCGGGGCGTAGCCGACGGACCGGCAACTGCGCCGTTCCTCCGCACCGCACCGCGCTCCCGGGCGGAGGCGGCGGGCCTATTTTTAACTGGCGGAATCGGAGCCAACTCGGGGGCCGGCCCGCCTGACACACCAGGCCCGCGGGTCAGACCCGGGGCGACGGACGGGCCGCAGATGGGAGCATGCGCTTTGTCTTCGGACGCCACCGAGGGGATAGGTGGATTTAACCACGCGTTGGCCTGCCGGCTGACGGTACTGAGGAGCGCGCTTGGGACTGGACACGTGTCTGAGCGTCGGTTGACGGCATTGGTAGCTTGGCCGGAGGGGGCTGCGCACTGTTCCGAGTGTTTGCCCGTGGTACCGAGGCGCCAGCTGGAGGGAACTGGACGATCGCCAGAGCAGGGGCCGGGGCGCAGAGGGACCACCCAAGGGGAACTCGGCGCGTGTCTCAGTGTCCACATATGGTGCCCAAAGGACCGTCTGGAAGAGCCAACATGCGCCTCCGCTTCTGCTGATGCGCCGAGCCCAGCGCAGGCTGACGGCACCGCGGTTGGACTGGAGCGAGTGCGCTACACGCCTCTGAACGTCGGACAGGTCGTGCCGGGGAAAGCTTTCCAGTCAGCTCGGCTGGGCTCAGCACCAGCTGGATAGAGCCGTCCTCTGGACAGGAGCTGTCCTTCGAAAGCGATAGATCTGTGCTTTAACTTGCGCACGAAGTTTGAGTATCGTGGAAGTGTTTTCCTGTACGACATTGCTGCTTGTCGACCGCGGTGGTTCAGTGAGAGGTGAATGGTAATGATATGCTATTTTAGTTGTGATATATTCGTTTTTCGTTCACTTCATTTTGGCGAACTAACATTTCGGTCTCCTGAGCCGGATAGTGGCCGGAACGTACGTTGTAATGTAACAAAAATGTTTTGGACGGCCCGAAGCAGTCTGAAGACCATAGGCAGGGCAGACTTATTCCATGTTACCTGTGAAAAATTCCATACGTATTCCGACTGCAAGAGTGTCGGCAGTTCCAGGACATGTGTCCCGGCGACGAACGTAAACTTACGCAAGACAGCAAGCACTGTTTCATGTGTCTTGGTGAGTGACACTGGGCTCAATAGTGCCGCAGAAGATCATCTTGCGCGAAGGACGAGCTGTTAGAAAAGCAACTACGTTGGCTGAATACCACGAGAGCGGGACTCAAAAGAGCGTCGGAAAGGACCGCTGCGAAGCCACGAATCTGGCCCGTGGTAACGAAGTGGAAGACGAGGTGCCGCGCGATCGATGGTCGCTTGGCCGCGTGTCAGAGGTGCTGCCCGGTCCGGACGGCCGGTGCGACCGGCGCGCGCCCGAGTCGGCGGTGGCGAGGTGCACCGCCCGGCGAGATGGATCTATGTGTTGGAAAAAGACAGCACGTGGGGACGATCATTCTGGTCTCTCTTTTTGTCTCTCCGCCCCCTGGAGGGGGGCGGGCGGGCGAATGGGGGCGAAGCGATGTCGCTTCGCAAACGACAGATCCGTGCTTCAACTTGCGCGCGAATTTTGGGCCTCGCGGAAGCGTCTTTTTTTCTGTACGAAATTGCTGCTTGTCGACCGCGATCGTGCAGCGGGAGGTGAAGGGTAACAACATGCTATCTTAGTTGCAATATATTTGTTTTTAGTTTATTTCATGTCAGCGAACAAACAGGAGTTAGTTCCTGTTGATTTAGTTCCTGCTTGCGTTAGTTCCTGTTCCTGATGATCGGACGCGCGCGATCGTGGATTGTGACGTATACTTCGCGCCGACCGTAGTGTTACGCACGATCAGCAGCTATGTAATCCTCCACGCATGTGCACATCCCACATTTGGCTGTTTTCAATCGACCGCGAACCATCCCAACATATCAAAACAGACGCCAACGGCGCCAGACCCTAGTCATCTGAATCAAAGGTCTTTACTTTGTTCACCGACGCATATTCCGGACGGGACGGGCACATGCCTGAGCCCGTCGCAGGAACACACCGAGTCTTGTTTTATGTATAATATTTACCAATCGGTACAAGTGAGGAAACACTTGACAGCGGGCGCGGCCCGACCGCGCCGAGAACACCCGGACAGGTGCGGCCGGTGACTGACACCCGTCTCCCAGTGACCGGGGCCGGCCGGGCGCTGACCCACCCGGCGTGACGTCACGGACCGCACCCGGCGCAACACGACGACTACACCCACAAGCGGCATGCACGGACTCAACACTGTAATATCACGGCCGATGCCGGGCGGGCGGCCGGCGGCGGAGGCGCCGACTGGGTGGGTTCGGGTGCGGCGGGGTGCGGCGGTCGCCCGGCGACGCGCGGCGCGGACGCTGCCGGACCGGCCGGGCGCTGGCGGGCCGGAGTCGGCTCCGGCCACCCTGCGCTCACACACGCGCGCGCGTGCGCACCGACGGCGGGCAGGGAGAGGGCGGTTAGTGCTCCCGACGATACGCCGGCGGGCAGCGTACGCTAAACACCGATTATTGTCGTCCACCATCAACCTAAACATACACATCACAGCCTCACAGTAAACCAAAAAAATCGCAAAGGTGGACAACGAGTATAAGCGACCCCCGTCCGTCGCAACGCACCGCCAGTCGACGGCCGTGTGCAAATGTCCGAAGCCGTGCGCTCAGATCGGCAACAGTGAGCGCCGCGCCGGTGCCAGACAGCCTGGGACCCGGGGGCGTGTGGAAAGAGGACGACGGCAGTTTACACGTGGGTGACTGAGCCCACCGACCCCTCACACGCCGGCACACGGTTACAAAACGCACTCGGTACGGACGGCGCGGTTCTCTGGCTCGCCCGCTGCGAGCCAGAACGTCCCACCAGTCCTGGCCATCGAGTTCCCACACAAGCCGCCGTTGACAGTCAGCAGTTCACTATAAAAACAAGGGTAAGAAATTAACAGGCTCAGCGGCGCGGCGGACAGCCGGCCGCGTTTTAAGCCCACTCGCAAGCCTCTCTTTGCCCGGAGCTGAGGGACATTTGTGCTGGAGGTCGACCGCGCCGGTCACGTGACGCGACGTGACGTGACGTGGCGTGACGCGACGCGCCGGGACCGGGCCGGGCCGAGCCGGATGGCCAGTCCCCGACCCCCGGCCGGGAAGACTGCGCGCCCGCCGAAATCACAGTGAAGCGCCCCGTAAGCTCTCTCTCACTCGTTCTCTATATCTCTCTTTCTCTCTCTCTGGCGGTCATCAGTGCGGACCTTTGCACTGGACGGCGCGGCGCGGCCGCTCAGGGCGGCCGGTGGCGAGCGCGGAGGGCGGCGGCGGCGGCGGCGGGGCCGGCGCGGCGAGGGCGCGGCGCGGCAGCGACGGCGGCGGCGGCGGCGCGACTCACGCCGCCTTCGGGTCACACCATCATAAGCTCCTCCTGGCCGTCGAACAGGTACTGGTGCTGGTCGATCATGGTCTGCACGATGTCCTCCAGGTGCGGCCGCATCGACTCGAACACGCCCATGTCGGTGAACTGCAGCGGCAGCAGCGTCGGCCACCAGCAGATGGCCAGGTTCTTGCTGTCCATGCTGTTCAGCTTGAACTTCTCCGACACCCTGACGGCGGGGGACGCCCGAGTCAGATAACGTAGACATCGTCACTGCGGTAACTGTACCAAGTAATCAGCGGCCAACTAATTATCTAACTAGCTGACACAAGTTCTTGGCTTACCGAAGGTCCGATGACACTGGGGCCCGCTCAGTGGCAATCACGATGAGGACGTGAAGACTGGACGGAATTCAGGTGACTATCATGGATGACAATAGTAGCCGGGCGCGGTACAACCAGGCGAAGATGAAGCTAGGGGGAGATTCAGATGCAAAGCACATGACTGTGCGAGGGTCAGATGGGCCAGACGGGGGTCTAACATGTGAGAGCAACTGAACGTCGTATGACGACGGAGGACGACGCGACAGGGATGGTGTGACAGTGAGACGACGGTGAGCTGGAGCCAAGACGGAGCCGGGACGTATGATGACGGAGGATGACAGGACGGGCATGGTGTGACAGTGAGACGACGGCGAGCTGGAGCCCAAACGGTGCCGGGACGTGTGATGACGGGGGATGACAGGACGGGGATGGTGTGACAGTGAGACGACGGTGAGCTGGAGCCCAGACGGAGCTGGGACGTGTGACGACGGAGGATGACAGGACGGGCACGGTGTGACAGCGAGACGACGGTGAGCTGAGCCCGGACGGAGCCGGGACGACAGCACAGCCCGGCGGGCTTGCACGATGGCAAACAGACCTCTGTCGTGGTTAACCTAATCTGTCAGAGCCTGACTCGCCGCAAGACGGCGTAAAGGTAACTTACGACCAAGAAAACAACCACTACCGTACCATTTGTTCAAATGCAGGCCTTCTACACGGCTCTCTGCAAACAAGACATGACGTACGCGTTCGTTTTCATACGCACACGCCCAAAAGCGCACCACATCGCTCTACGACCTGTTTGGTAGCGACGCTGGGCTCCCGCGCAACACGAGCGCGTGTAACACGTGAATAGCCGCACCGCGGCACGAGTCGCAAGAGCCACTTACTTCAGGAAGTGACGAAACAGATACTTGAGGATGTTGAAGTTAATGGGAGGAAGATCCTTCAGAAGAACCCGCAGTTTGAATAGTCGAGTTCGCCGATCTGATATACCTGAAACAAAACAGCGCACTCAGCCGGGAACCAATCCAAAAGCTTCAGCGCCACTGCACACAAATGATGGGCCGAACACGGGCGCACTTCACACGAATTATCCCTCCACTTTACACCGCATTCAGCACCAACGAGATACTGTAAACAGGCGAATCGCAACTTTCTGGCTTATTACGCTCCTCGGGCAAACGGGGGGGGGGGGGGGGGGGGAGGGGCACATTAGCGCGCAACGTTAGGCTATTGGCGGGCCATGTTCCATATTGTTCATTTCTTATTTTCATGTCGGCATGATCAGCAGAGTAATCCTAACGAATCTTTTGCTGCACCGAATTGGTCGATCAGAAAGTAGTTACTGCGTATTTTGCTCGCATTCAGCTGAAACATTAATACATTTATACTGGGATTATTTCAGAATACAGGATTTCCTCTGAGGAGTTTACACCAAAATATCCGAAGAATTTGACGTAAGACTACACTTTGACAAGAGGCAGTGGATGTTTCACAACCTACAAAGCACGAGTAGCATTGACACTCTTATTACATTAACCGAACTCATCATTTAAAGGCGCATCTGAGGAAAGTACTACCACAAATAGGACGTTTCCTAAGCCTGTTGGAACTAAAAACACAAAAGAGCGCTGTTCCGCCGAATTCCGTAACGAAACGAATACCTTTAACAAATGGGAAAGAGCAGGGCTTGTCTTGCGAGTCATGCCTGGAACCCCACACCTTTAAATTTTCTAAGAGGAATATACTTCTGCTTTTGTTTCGATAACGACACGTTGCCGAAATACCAACGAATCTATATCTCCATTCTCCTGGTGTTCTCCGATGAATAACGTCATTACTGCTGTCTTTTATCTACGGGCGCCAATGCACTTAACAACTTATCATAAAATTATGGTGCGCAGCGCGCGCCTGTGCCGCGCAATACACAACTCAGGTAGATATGCACGTATTCTCTAACACACGCATGCTCTCAGACCACAAACACGCACACCACCCCCTTACACCTGTGTATACGTATTCGCATATTTACTGCACGCACCATTCGCGGTATACTATGCTGTGTGTGATAGCGGTGGGGGGTCGTAGTAACACCCGTTCCAAAACGAGCACGCGAGAACTAGGCATTGTGGGCCAAACGCGAACCGTGCTGTAGGTATTGTTATGTGTGAGCAATTATTTGAAGTGATGTGCTCGTATGACAGACTGCGATGACGTGTCAGGTGTGATTGGGTATGATTGCCGGGTATTCTGAGCGATCAATTATTATACACATTGTCTCCCTGTGGTGATTCTGATTGTGTGTGTTGTGATTTGCAAATAAATTGAAAAAGAAAAGAGATATGAACGAATAGACAAAAAATGTTCCATATCGTCCAGTCTTGATTTTGGTCAACACTGCCAATGAGAAAACGCCACAATGACGGCAAGGATCTGATGACTACATAAACCGCGCTTTCTCAATTTCCTGCAGCTCATCCACGGTGTCCCCCTCCCTATCATCATAACCTTCCCACAATCCCCGCTGCCTCAGGCGTCACACCCAAGCTGGGCGTCCGATCGCGCCAGCACCTACCGGCGATGCTGGTGAGCTCGGCCATCTTGTCCTGCGTCAGCAGCGGCGGCAGCTTCTTGGAGAGGAACTCCTTGAGCGCCGTGGCCACGGCGTTGACGGCCAGGTCCAGGTCAGCGATGCTGGCCCCGCTGTCCTCGGAGAGACGCTCGAACAGCAGGTCCACGTGCGCCCGGTTGCCAGGCACGCGGTACAGGCCTTCGGCGTCCAGGCCTTCCGCCTCGATGTACTCGACGCAGCGCGTCAGGAACACGGGCAGCTGCCCGCCGGCGCCGCCGCCCGGCACCAGCTCCTCCAGCTGTCACAGGGGCACGGTCACACGTGTGTTATCGTGACGTGACCGTGTGATGCCGGGGAAACGCACGGTTACGGTCAGCTGTCCGCTGCTCGGCAGCAGCTGGACCAGCTGTCAAGAGTATTGAGCTCAGCAGATGCACTGCACTACATCAGTCAAACGAGATGGCTAAATGGGTGCGATGAATTGATCAAACTGGTCCTTGTGACAGAGGCTTGCAATCCAGATCGTTCACCTGAGATTGCGACGACGAGGTCGACGTCTTCCCCTTTTTATGCTTCTCCTTTTTGAGCCTCTCCTTTTCCAGCTTCTTCACCTTTTCCTCTTCCTTTACACGCCTCTTTTCCTCTTCCTTTAATTGCCGCTGCCTATCCTTTCGCCTCAGTTTCTCTTCTTTGGCGGCGTTGGCGGACTGAAAAGACGTTATTATGAGCCTCATGCGCAAGCCTCGACCGCCCAGATCGGTCTCTTCACAAAATCGAGCGTCTAGGCGACCGCAACCTCGGATATCGCTATAACAGAGACAAAAAGTCATGTTCCCTAGTCACCAGCGTCCAATGCGACCGGACCTCTGCACCATCCGCACCATCTCAGTGTCATGACACTACTGCACCATCGACGTCAACAAACAACGTGACCACACATCACTGGCACAGCGACACCAGAGCTGACGTCTGACAGCTGTGAGCGCTCGCGGTGTGACCACACATCACTGGCACAGCGACACCAGAGCTGACGTCTGACTGACAGCTGTGAGCTCTCGCGGTGTGACCGAACACCACTGGCACAGCGGCACACAACACTGGTTTAAAGCGCGACCGGTTGTCCCCAGCAATGTGCTCCAAGTTGTTCGCTACTAACCAGGAGTTAAGCTGAGATACCCCGGCATTGATACGTCCAGTCTAGACTTCGATCAATCGCTAGTACCTTACTCTGAACTGACTAGTACGTGAGAGCTGAAATATCCCCACACCGAAGAGTGCAGGCCACTCTGTTCTCTGTTGACGCCGTTCACTACTGACCAGCACAGGAGAGCTGAAGTCTCCCGACACCGACACGTCCAGACTAGACTCCTCGTTGTTTACGCCCTCCCGCGGCGACTCAGACTTCGACTTGGCGGCTGAAATCCACAGCAGCCTGTCAGTCTGGACGGGGCTGTTCTGTCAGGACTTCAGTCAGGAATATCCGGAGAGCTGCAAGCTGGCGGGACCCCGCCAGCTGTACAGTGTTACGGACAGTGGGATGGCGTTGCAATGGAAACGCATGTCGCCAGGTTTGTGAATGGACGGAGTGACTTACACCAGGACAGAGGCCACGAAAAGGTTGCGCTTCCGCAATAATGCAAGGAAAAAACGTCACACACAGCTATGACGCTTACGCGCTGATCAAAACCTCCCTCTATAAGCAATGCTCGTGTTTTTGGTGTGCAAAAATCAAACGAGCCACGTCAGCACATGCCGACTGGACCCGAGCCTCACGCACCAACCGCACAGACCTCACATGGCGCCACCCCAGACCCAGAGGCCGGCTGGACCCGAGCCTCACGCACCAGCCGCACAGACCACACACGGCGCTGCCAGAGGCCAGCTCAGCCCAGTACTCACGCAGTGGGGAGCCGGCGGCGCGCGCCGGCAGCGTCGGCACCTGCGGGATGGCGGCCGGCACGCCGGCGCGCTTGGCGGCCGTGCGCCGCAGCCGCACCGAGCTGCTGGCGTACTTCTGGCGGCTGAAGGTGCCCTCCTCCTCGGCGGCCGACTCCTCCGAGTCGCTGCCGCCCAGGACTGGCGACGGGGCGGCGTCAGGGGTCACACGCGGGCCGGCACAAGTTTCATACGTGCCACAGTGCCCCGCGCGACGGCACGAGTCACGGCCGCTAGCGAACGACTGCCACACGTCTGCCAGCAGCTGTCTTCTCTGGGCCAATGTGTGAGACACGTTATGACTGCAGCGAGACCCAGCGCATTTTCAGACAAGGTCCAGCATGAAAGCATGAGTGCGACTCCAGTGTGACATGCCGGTTGCCATTCGAAGGACGCAGCAAAAGCAAACACTAGCAAACCCATGCGATCATGCCGACAGAGAAAGACACAAAACTAAGCGTACGCCATTCACAAGCAGTAGCCAGACCGGTGGTGCGGCGCGGCAGCCCAGAAAGCCCGCGGAGGCTTGCCGCCGAGGCATCACGGCAGCAACACCGCATGCATCATAGCGCAAACATTGCTCAGAGGCTGTCAGGCTGTGTCGAGATGATTTGGGACTCCCCAGCTTGCCGACGACAGCTCATCTGTTGGGTTGGCGCCAACGATTTGATAACCAATGGCTGGGCTGACATCTATCAATAGTCTATGCCGGCGGAGGAATCGTAGTTTATCAGAAGGGCGGACAGAAATAGAAAACCCGATCGCAGTCAGCAAAGCCGTATGCCGTTTATAAGCCGTAAGCCCTCTGTGCTATATTACTGTTAGACCTCTAGGGCACACCACTGTTGAATTATGCAAGGCGCCGGTCGCTGGCGGCCCTAACTCGGAATGGAGGCCGAGGTGAGCGGCGCAAGGCCATGCACACCTTTGGCGCCCTTTGCCCCATGCAAGGTTCAGAAAGTCTCATGCACGACCCCTTCCCGAGCGCCAGCCCGCGTGGTTCACCACGGCTTCGAACGGCGACGCATACACCACGAAATCGCGGTCGTTCTAGACTGCGTGGTGTTCATGCCATTGTCGGGCGTTGGAGGTATTCAGCTTTGAACATTACAACCCAATCGCGGCCAGGGAGGGCGGGCTGCCAACTACACTTGTTGACGGATAAGCGCCGTACTCACGCACATACGGCAGGCCATTCAAGGGCGACTTCAAGAGCATGCAGCCGGTACGATCTGGGCCAGATTCTGGAGCTCACTATGGACCAGGCTAACAGCCTGTCGAGAGCAAAGGCCACTCCGGACCAGCCATGCCGGCGGACAGCGCGAAAGCATGCACTGCAAAAACGCCAGGCTGTCCGTGGCGGAAAAGCGTTGTCGACGCCGCCAGGCAACTCTGCGCCACGCGCCACGGGTCCAGACCACGCCCGGCCGTCCAGCAGCGGCGCACGCCGCCGAGCCGCGCCGCCTGCCCACCTGTCTCGGGCTCGGTGCGCTCGGCGCGGTCGTCGAGCGCGAACGGACTGCCCCGGCCGTCGAGGCTGGGCACGCGCGGCGCCGCCACCGGGATGGCCTGGCGGCGGCGGCGGCTGCGCTTGGGCGGCGTGCGGCGCGGCGCCGCCGGGCCGCACGGCTCGGCCGGGCTCGGCTCGCTGTCCGAGTCGGTGGTGTCTGCAACACCGGCGGCCGGCCGGCCGGCCGGCGTCAGCCGCCGCACGCACCGCGACGGCGGCGCGGCGCACCGGACGCCGCGCCCAGCTGAGTGCGCGGCCGCGGCGCACGCACCGCAGCCTGAGACGGCGCCAGTGAGACGGCGGCACCCCCACACCAGCGTCAACTCGAGAGGTCACAGCCAGCAGCAGTCGCCCTGCGTCAGCGCCAACCCCAGGCGGAGGAAAGCAGCAGCCGCCGCCCCGCCACCAGCGTCCAGTCTCAGCGCATAGCCATCTTTTTCCCAGGCTGGCGCTGTGCACCATACTCCGGATGGGGCTGCGGTAAAAGCTGCGTCTCTTACAGCATCCATTCCACTTACTAACTTATCGACTTTGTCCCTAGTTTAACCGCACAGACAGTAAAGTTTCTCTGAGACAAGAAATAGTGGTGTCGGAGTGCTAAAGGAAGCGTGTGTCCACCAGCAAACAGTGCCCGGAACAACACGCAGCAGCCAGAACCACGGGAGGTCCGGTTAACACATCAACTGATCACAGCAGTCACTACAGGCGGTGCCGGCGCCGTCCTCCGGGGCCATTATCGCGGGCCAGATCATCAGCTCAGGTCAGGTCAGGTCAGGTCAGCTGTCAAGTCAGCCGTCAGTGCTCAGCCCCGCCACGAGCGCCGGTCCCGGCGGACTCCGCCGCCCAGCAGCCAGCCCAGCCGCTCTCCCCCAGCGCACTCACACTGGCGGCACTTCTCGGTCCGCTGCCGGAGGCGCGCCTTGGCGCTGTGGCCGCCCGCGTCCTGCGCCAGCGTGTAGCTGTAGTCGCCGTCGAACTTGCCGCCCAAGAACAGGGCGTCCTTGACCTGCGGCGTCCGGCGGCTGCAGTCACGCTCGCGGCTCGGTCAGCGTCGCCGCCGACTCGGGCAAGCACGGCAGAGGGCGGCCACGCTTCGGGGCCGTTACGTCCCGGCATGACCCGCTGCGCTCTTACGTGGCTTAATATGTGTCGAGTAGCGACCACGTCATTCTCCATGGACCATCACAGTTACTCTCGGGCGCGATGCGGAGGCGCAAAGCAGCAACCGACACGTCGCCGGGGCCCTGCTCCTACCCGCCGCGGTCGCCGGCACAGGCAGCGGCGGCGGCGGCAGAGGTCGGTCCGTACCTGGGCGTACTCGGAGCCCGGCTGCTGCGAGAAGCCGGCGGCCGCGCGGCCGCGGCGCGGCTCAGCGCGGTTCGTCAGGTTCAGCTTCTCCAGCGTGTCCACTACGCTCGTGTACTGTTTCAGGTTCAGTTTGCCGGGCTGCTGGGCGGCGGCAGGGTTAGAGTCACGTTGACTTAGATAACAGCAGATCACAGCAACAGGACCAGAGATGCTTAAAGACAGGCGCAGACGATTGCTGACTCACAGCATCTATAGAAAATTTGCATGACCTGGCATCAGCCGTGTTACAGCCCCGAGGAGTCGTTGCGCTACTAAACGCCCCTATGCACTAGCCCCCCCCCCCCCCCCCCCACCCCACGCGTCCCATGTTGCCAGAAAAACAGCGCATCCGACAGCCCGCTAGGCTGAATGCAGGTTTGCCGCCGAGTTCTCGTCGATCGCGCGTACCCACCTGTCCGGCCTGAGCCTTGGGTTTAGGCGGTGGCGGCGGCCGCTGTCGGCCGGTAGTGTAGGCGTGCGCCGGCGCTAGCTGCCTCCGCTCCAGCCACACGTCATCCGCAGGCAGCTGGCGTGCCCCGGCACTCGTCTCCTCCAGCCAGCCTGGCGCCGTCACACGGTCAGAACACGGCGGCCTCACACGGAGCTCCTCCAGCCAGCCTGGCGCCGTCACACGGTCAAACACGGCGGCCTCACACGAGTCTCCTCCAGCCAGCCTGGCGCCGTCACACGGTCAGGACACGGCGGCCTCACACGGAGCTCCTCCAGCCAGCCTGGCGCCGTCACACGGTCAGAACACGGCGGCCTCACACGAGTCTCCTCCAGCCAGCCTGGCGCCGCAACACGGTCAGAACACGGCGGCCTCACACGAGTCTCCTCCAGCCAGCCTGGCGCCGTCACACGGTCAGAACACGGCGGCCTCACACGGAGCTCCTCCAGCCAGCCTGGCGCCGTCACACGGTCAGGACACGGCGGCCTCACACGGAGCTCCTCCAGCCAGCCTGGCGCCGTCACACGGTCAGAACACGGCGGCCTCACACGGAGCTCCTCTAGCCAGCCTGGCGCCGTCACACGGTCAGAACACGGCGGCCTCACACGAGTCCCCTCCAGCCAGCCTGGCGCCGTCACACGGTCAGAACACGGCGGCCTCACACGGAGCTCCTCTAGCCAGCCTGGCGCCGTCACACGGTCAGAACACGGCGGCCTCACACGGAGCTCCTCCAGCCAGCCTGGCGCCACCACACGGTCAGGACACGGCGGCCTCACACGAGTCCCCTCCAGCCAGCCTGGCGCCGTCACACGGTCAGAACACGGCGGCCTCACACGGAGCTCCTCCAGCCAGCCTGGCGCCGCCACACGGTCAGGACACGGCGGCCTCACACGGGACTCCTCCAGCCAGCCTGGCGCCGTCACACGGTCAGAACACGGCGGTCCCCAGGCTCCTGTCACGGCTCCTCCAGCCAGCCTGCCCCGCCTGGTACGGCCACATCACAACACGGGAGCCACGCTAGGCAGTCACGGCTGACACGGTCACGGCTGGCGGCTCACGGCCAGGCGCGTGGCGTGGCCTGGCACCGCACCGGACCATGGCGGCCCCGCACCATCATCCAGCTAACCCGGTACAGTTATAACATAACACGGTGGCCATGTACCAGACTCCCTCAGCCAGTCTGAAACAATCGCAACATAACGTTCCCACGTGGACTCCTCATATCAGCCAGACAGCTGCAGCCTCAGGATGTGACGGCCCCTCGCTAAACTGCTGTCATCAGCATAGCGCGGCCACATCATAATAGGGGCAGCCCTACACCAGACTTATCCAGCCAACCTGTCACACCAGGGCACGTCAGAACGAGGGGGCTCCATGTCAAACACACCCAGCTAGCGTGGCTTACCTAAGCCGAATAATCCCAACCCAGAGCAAAGCATCGAAAATAACAAGCGCCAAAAACCTTTGGCATGCCCGATATGAACACAAACCAGTCTTCTAGGCTGCCAGAAAGAGAGAAGTTGCTCCATCAATTATCATCAACACCATTCTAAAGCAGCCATTTCCAGCAGCCAGAATCTACACAGATGACATCGGCTGTAGCGGTTCAACAGTGAGTGCTGTGGCACGACCATACGATAGGAACGTGGAGTGGATGCAGACTACAAACAGTGGATACCAAACAACTGCATGGCACACATGGGAGCCCATGCGGCAGGAGCGTGCGACAAAACTATTAGCTCATTAGCTGCGTAGCTAACGGTCCACCGGGGCCACGGAATTCACGCCGAGAGGCTCCAACGCCAGTGACCCCGGCTGATACAGTTTGCTTCGTCCCAGCGATGGCACGGGGAATGCGTTCAAATGGGACGAATAACCTGGCCAGGGAAGAACAACTCAGGACGTGGGCTTGCAATACCCAGCTCGGCAGCTGTGCTACGACGAACCTCAGACAACACTGAGCGGAATCCAACCAAAGCCCACAAATGATGCGCACATTTACAGCTGTAACCTGATGGATTTACGCCCTATAGATCACATGGCGTGATACCGTCTGCCGCTCTGGAACCTCGAGCCGGTGACATCGCACACAGCCACGACATGCAGGCATGCGAGTGGAGCTAATATCTAGTATGCAACCAGACTCAGCTGGGCAGAATGCTCTTAGTTTGCCCCCGGCTGGATTTTATGGCGTTTGGCCCACCTCTAACCTTGACCATTTATGAACTTCTGAGACACTGGGAAGTCTAAGATCAACAAAAGTTTCATGCCAGTCTAACACAACAGCGAAAGTGAAGAATGCCATCGTAACATATTCATTCAGAGTCAAGTCTGCTTGCACAGGCCTTTAAGCCGTTACACAAATAGTTTCAAAATAGCAGGCTGAAAATTACCCATTTACAGGGACGTTGTGCTGAAAAAAATATACAACGTGATACGGAAGCCCTCGGCAGCAGCTGCGGAACCACCCCACCCCGTCGGCGGCCGCCTCGAGCCCACAGCGCCCCGGCTGGAGAGCGACGACTCCGCGGTGGCAGCGGGGGCGGCCGGCGCCAGGCTCGAGCCTTTAACCCCGCCGCCTGCCCGGTGCGGGCGCCGAGCGGGCGGCGCGGTCTACGGGAGCAGCGGCCGCCGCCTGCGGGCCCGGCGTGGAGGCATGCACTGTCTTGTCGTCTACAGGGTGAGGCGCGGCGCGCGCCGGTGCGCGCCGCCGCCGCAGACGGCGGGGTGACGCGACGACCGCGGACGGACCGCGCATGCGCACCACGACACGCAGGCGTACGGACGGACGAACGAACGGAGCAGGCGGGCCGAGGGCACAGCGAGAAACGGGGAGAAACGGCCGGTTACATTCCGAGTCGGAGCTGGAGATACGGGCGGCGGCGGGCGGCGGCTGATGGGCGCGCGGCAGGTCGGCGCCGCCGCCCGGCGCCGGCTCCGGCGGCGTGGTGGGCGCCGGGAACACGCGGAACCCTGCCGCCCAGACAGCGCGTCACACAACGGCAGACGCCCCGCCGCCGGCGGTGCAGGCCGGCTCCACGACCCAAGAGAGGCTATCCCAGCCCGCGTAACAGCCACGTCCCCATTGACTCAGAACAGCTCATCCGCCCAAAAACCCTGAACTCATCCAGTTGATTTGCGCACGCGCCAGTAATCAACAGGCCACGCGTCATACAACTCTGATAATGCTTATGGAGTCTTGGTTGTGCTGAACGACGACCGAACTGCGCGTAGACGTAGAAGCTGGTTTCCCCTGTAACCATTCGCGAAGTCTGTCCATCTGTCCGAGCGCTGGACACTCACACAGGGCGGAAGCGGGAGCGGACAGTACTAGTAAGGGACGACCGCCTGCTCACCTGCCATCTGCTGCAACTCAACACGCCAAGCATTCGAACTGCTCTAGCCGCAACACAAACGCCCGACCATTCCGTCCCAGAACAAATCAAAACGTCAACGGAACGTCTACAAGCGGGCCATGCGGGCGCGCCCCGGGGCGGGGCGGCGCCGGGGCGGGTGAGGGCGGGCTGTGTACCGGTGTCGGGCCGCGCGCGGCGACCCAGCTCCAGACTCTCGGCCTTGAAGAACTGGAGGCGCGGTGGCGGCGCCGGCAGCTGCTCGGTGCAGGCGCGGCTGAAGGGGGCGCGCGCGCGCGCCGGCCGCGGCGCCGGCTGCGACAGACACGACGGCAGCGACTCCGTGCTCGGGTACGACTGACACAACAGCTCTGAAAGCAGGCGGCCCACCGTGACGAGCGGGCCGGGCCGCGGCGCGGCCCACCGAAGCGGCGCCGCCAGCCCGCCCTCACCCACACGCGCGCCACCACGCTCACAGCGCGCCGCGGCACTGGGCGGTGGCCGCCGACGCCGAGACACTGGCGGACGGCGGACCCCGCGCCCCCTCCCCGTACGCGGCCGTCCCCGCGGCGTCCGCCGGCGTGCCGCGCTCACCCTGCTGGAGGCTGCGCCGCGGGGCGGCCGTCGGCGTGGGCCCGGGCGGCCCGTGCTCGCCGTTCGCCTGTCGGCGCCGGGTCGGCGGCTCGGCCAGCAGCTCGCTGTCGTCGTCGCTGGCCGATAATGGCCGCTCGTCCAGCGGTCGGCGAGAGGTTCAGCTCGTCGCCCAGCGAGCCGTCCGTCGGCAGTCGCTCGTATAACTCCGAGCCGCTCCTGCCGACCAGTGCCGGGTCACACAGGGCCGGCTCCAGCCTCCAGCGGCTCGCCCAGGACACGTCAGATGGCTCGTAGCAGGCAGAGGGCGGCCTCGAGCCGCTCCTGTCCAGCAGCAGGCGCCGGGCCGCGACGGCACACGTATGACTGGCCACTCACTACCGCTTTACGTCGTCACCCGGGCCCCACTGTGCAGACCGCCACACAGCTGAATGACAGTCCCAAGCCACAGCAGTCACTCAGCTGTTCAATATCACCACGGCCACACATAACGCCTGGTCAGAACATGTGTCTGGTGGGCGTCTGGTCTGAACATCATGCCTGGTCTGAACGGACGTCGTTTCAGATCAGCCGCTGCCGTGCTGCAGAGACTGTCACACAGCACGTCTTCACCGCCACGGGACGGACCAAGACCCGGCGTAACGCTCAGCTCCTCACAACCGCGCTCAGTGAGCCGGGGCCGGTCTGGCACCGGTCGATCCAGTCTGAGCACCGCTACTCTGCCAGGCGTGAGCAATGAGCCTGAGTCGGTGACGGGCTGGGGCTCGTCATGGCTCGGGTCTGGGTACGGCAGGGTGTGAGCTGGCGTGGGCCGGGACGGAGCCGAGGACGTACCCGTCGTTGCTGGCGGCGCCCAGCTGCTGGTGGAGCGTGAGGGCACGCGGGAACGCCGGCCCCTCGTCCGCCTCCTGCAGCCGGCGCACCCGCTCCAGCTCGAACGCCTGCTCGATCTCCGGCTTCTTCTCCCACACCTGCAGCGGACATCCGGGGTCAGTCTATGGTGGCTCAGTCACGGGCAGGGGGCAGTCACGGGTAGGCCAGCCAAGGACAGGGTCAGTCGTGGGGCAGGGCCAGTCACAGGTGGGTCAGTCACGGGTGGGTCAGTGACGGGTTGGGTCAGTGATGGCGGGGGTCAGTCACAGGTGGGTCCGCCAAGGGCAGTGGCAGCCACAGGTGGGTCAGTCGTAGGGTCAGGGGTCATCACCAAACTCCAGTCGCATCCAATGAGGACCAATCCAGAGGCAATCACTTTATGCCGAGGTCCGTGCAGAGCCACAGCAGGCGCGCCTCGGCCGCGCGAGCACCATCCCCGGCAACATCCCCCTCCCCCCCCCCCCCCTCCCCTCTCCAGCTCGCCAGCCTCCTGGCCAGCTCCTGTCGCACCTCCTTGAAGAAGCTGAGGTAGAAGGCCGACTTCTGCTGACAGGTGGACGTGGAGGTCATGAAGTGGGCCTGCAGCCGGTCGGCGATGTGGTTGCCCTCGGTGATGAGCTGGTGCGTCAGCTGGGACGAGAAACAGCGCGTTGGCGCCGCCCGAGTCGGTCACCGCCAGGATCTGGATCGGCAGGTGCGGCACGCTCGCCGAGAACACGCTGCAACGAGGCGCACGGTGCGCCCGGCTACCGTCAGCCGCTGCCGGATAGGGCCTGCGAGACGCAGCGTGGCGAACAGGCGACAGTCCGTCGCCAGCATTAGCACTGCGAGACGACGGTGTGGATGCTGGCCCACCATCTGTGGCATTGTATGGCCAAGGCACACACACACAGGCATCAGGCGGATAAACACACCACCACATCACCTCACAAATCAGCCATGAATGTCCTTTCACCATAGACAAGCACGAAGTCACTTCCGTCCAACGCGACCCAAGACGGACCGCGCGGCGGCCGGCCGCGAGCGCGCGAGCCGGCGCGGCAGCCTACTTGAGGTTGTTGAGCGACGCCCGCCGCTTGGTGCTGTACACCAGGACGAAGCCGTGCACCATCTCGTCCTGGTAGGCGGCAGCGCCGTGGTACGAGCTGATGATCACCTCCACCCGGCGTCGGCAGTCGCCTGCCGGCACAGGCGCCGAAATGGCGTCCCAACTCCGCACTCATCTCCAGACTCCGGACTCCGGAATCCGGAATCCGGACTACCAACTCTGGACTCCGGACTCCGGATTCCGGACACATCTCCGGACCCGGACTCTGGACGGAGCGAAACAAGCCCAGGGAAGATGACGACGTTGGTTGTGCACAGCGGTTTGTATTTCATGGCGGGAGGACCGCACGCGCAACGACGCTTGTCTGCCATCATCGTCATCGTCGTCGCCATTGGAGTTTTACAACGCACTCACCACGCTCCTGAGACTGTATTGCGTGAAGCCCTGACGGCAAGAGCAGGCCCGCGGACAGCAGAACCCCGTCCCTCTCGTGTCCCGGACGCGCAGCTGAACCACTAAACTATCAGCATTCCGCGTCAGCTGGCGCATCAAATCTCTGGGAAACATATGCGCACTGGCCGGGTGACAGCACCGACATATCTTGTCACGGCCAGTCCTAGGCCCGCCTGCCGCTCACGGCAGTCTGTCGTCGGAGCCGGACAGGACGCTGGGGCCCGACTTACCAAGAAAGGTGTCCAGTATGACGGAGCTCTTCTCGTGCGTTTTGACAAGTTGATTTGACAAATGGCGCCGACCACATTCTCGACCGAGTACGGATCACCGCAGAAGAGGCACATTATTATCCTGAAAAAATCCCATCCGGGGTGAGACAACTACTGCAGCAAGGGTTGCTGCAACGGCGGCGAGATCAGCGCTGCGTGTGACCCATGCTTTGGAACACCGCACACAAAATGACGCACCGGAAGGGGCACTGAGTCACTTTCCCCGCTAGGCGGACACACCGGCCCACACCTGGTGGCGGTCTCTCACTGACGTCCAGCCTCCTCGCGGATAGGCCAATCACCAGGTGTCCAGACCTCCCCTGATATTACCCACCGACCCCCCCCGTCGGTCTCTCGCCTGACGTCCAGCCTCCTCGCGGACAGGCCGTCACCAGGGTGTCCAGACCTCCCCTGATATTACCCCTTCCCCCGTCGGTCTCTCGCCTTGACGTCCAGCCTCCTCGCGGACAGGCCGTCACCAGGTGTCCAGACCTCCCCTGATGTTACCCCCTCCCCCGTCGGTCTCTCCCCTGACGTCCAACCTCCTCGCGTAAAGGCCATCACCAGGTGTCCAGACCTCCCCTGATGTTACCCCTCCCCTGTCGGTCTCTCGCCCTGGCGTCGGGCGCTTACCTGATGTCAGGCTCCCTCGCGGAGAGGCCGGCCGGGTAGAGTGGCGCCCCGCGCCGGAGCCGGCGCGCTGCTGCACGCTGTGCACCAGGGCGGCCAGCGCCGCCGTCAGGCGGTTCGTTCGCTCATGCTGACGCTGGCGGCGTCCTCGGCGTCCGGCTCGGCGGCCCGCCTCCTCCGACGGCGCGTGCAGTCCACGAACGGACACTGCAGACTGCCGACACGCGGGGCGCCGGGGGTCAGCGGCGGCGCGACGGGACGGACGGCCGGCCGGCCCGAGTACAGACCGATCGACCGATCGACGAGGCGCTGGCGGCTCGAGTGCGTACGTGCACGGCGTGACGTGACGCGACGGTCACGGTGCACGCTCGGACGTGCGACGCCAGCAGGAGCGGCCGGGGAGGCCCGGCGGCCTGCGTGTAGTGACTAGCGCGGCTACACTGCCGCCAGGGGGACAGCCAGGGGGACCGCCGTCGGTCGGACAACGAGCTCTTCCACTCACTTGTCGGCCAGACTGCGGCCCTCCTGGCGCAGCTGGGCCAGCTCGGCCTTGTCCAGCTGCGAGTCGGCCGCCAGCACCAGCACCAGCGGCAGGCCCTGGAACGGCGGCCGCGGCTGGCCGTCCTCCTCCTCCTCCAGACTGGTTAGCAGCGTCTTCTCCACGCTCTGGCGGATGTACTCGAACGACGCGGCGCCCGAGTACACGCACAAGCAGCCTGGCGGACAGCACGCACAGCGGCCACATGTCGGTCAGCCCACAGGCGCACGCAACCCCTTGAGGAGAGCACTCCACTAGCCAGCACACGCAGGCGAGCTGAAAATAGACAACCAAATCGCGACAGCGGGCGGTCACGACACCGGAACGCCCGGCCGCCTACCGTGCGGACTGAAGTCAGCCGTGAAGAAGGCGCTCGGCGTCAGCTTGGTGTCGTCGCTGATGATGCGCAGGCCAAGGCTGAACAACTGGCCGTCGATCTCCACTTCGTCCTCGTCCAGCTGCAGCTGGAGCAGCGCCACACGGAGCATCAGCCCCGGCAGCACACCACAGGCGTCCACGGACGGGAGCAGAGGGGCAGGACCTGGACGGACACTGGACGGACGTGTGAGGGACCGCCGCTCCGTGCTCACTGTTCGTGGCCCTGGCGGAGCGCTGTGTGGCCGCCATCACTGCGGATCCCGGGCCTCGGACCGCGCCGGCGCTTACCGCGTAACTCCCACCGAAATGGCATCAGCTGCATCATCCCACCACGACCAGTTCTCCTGCATGGAAGCCAATGCCCATCCATCGCCACTGACCCTGACCGCCAGCGTGACCCCCGGTCCCGTGACCTCACCACTCTGAACACCAGCCGGCACTGACCCTGACCGCCAGCGTGACCCGCGGTCCCGTGACCTCACCACTCTGAACACCAGCCAGCACTGACCCCGAACACCAGTGTGACCTCCCCGGTCCCGTGACCTCACCACTCTGAACACCAGCCAGCACTGACCCTGAACATCTGCGTGCCCCCGCCCCCCCCCCCCCCCCGGTTCTGTGACCTCACCACTCTGAGCACCAGCCAGGCTGACCCCGACCACCAACGTGCCCCCCCCCCCCCCGGTCCTGTGACCTCACCACTCTCAACACCGGCCAACACTGACCCTGAACATCTGCGTGAGCCGGTCCGCCGACCCCTCGGTGCCCACCAGCACCACGTTGAGGCTGTGCACGGGCGAGTCGCTGCCGCCGAACACCCAGTGCGTGCCGGCAGCGGAGGCGCCCGGCGGCGGCGCCGGCCGCGCCGCCAGCAGCGCCGCCACCAACAGGTCCATGCAGTAGGGTCCGGCCGGACAGCGGTCGGCGCGCGGCCGGTGCAGGAAGCCCAGGTGCTGGAGCAGCAGCAGCGTCCGCTCCTGCTCGAACCGGTCCAGCAGCTTGTACCTGGGGCAGGGGTGGCCGGTGAGTGGGCGCCAGTCGCCGGCGGCACACGGCTGAGGTCAGCTACAGGGAATGTTGGACGCCCATTGTGCCGGGCTGCTAACCAAAGCGGTGCTGGGCCGTTTGCGTCTTTGGTTTCACTTGTGAAAAAAACGATAAAGGCGATTCAAAGTATTTAGTGCATCTAAGCTAAGCAAGACTATGTAACGTCGCAAATGGGTCGAAAGTTATGGGGAAAATGCATCACAGGTAGTAAAAAGGAAAACCTATGTTCATCTCTCGTAGCCGACAATAATCTGATGTCCCACTGCAAACATCACAATATGTCCGTTGCCTTACATCAATAGGCGATTGTCAGCCTGCTGTATCGTAGTTGTTACTCCACGTTCAAGACATCATACAGCCACAGCTATTGAGATGTATGACTCATTACTCCATCATGCTGCGTCGAACATTGCGCGGATACTCCGAAAAAACCGGTGGCTGCTACACCAGGGAGGATCAGGATCGAGGCACAGCGAGGATCCTGGCGAGGGTTACGACAGAGACCACCTCAAGTCACTTGCAGCAAGACTGTTTCACTCTCCATGAGCTAACCACAAAACACCAAACGTGACGCACACCCCTCTCGATCCGGTCCGCTGGGCGGTGCTCTGTGTCGGCGCCCGGTCGGACACCACTGATGCGCGCTGCAGGCTGCTACACTATATGCATCAACTAGGTGGCTACGTAACTGCCAAGCCCCTTCTGGCTTACCAGACCACCTCACGGCTAACAATGTTTACAGTGGTGGTTCACCGTTGAGCATCTGTGCAGCTCACCAAACGCAGTTTCTCGCACCGCCTGAACAAACATGACCTTTCGTAACGAGCATCTGATGCGCAGCATGACTCATCGACACATTTGCTTCACTTTTCTTCTGCCTCGCCACATGACCGAACTAAGACAAAGGAGATCCCCGGTGGTATACGTCATGATCTTGGCGTGGCGACCTCACCATGTTGACAAACAGACCTCACATCCTCCTGCAGCAGCTCGGTGATGTCCTTCATCTGGTCCTGGGTGAGGGCGCCGCCGCCACCGGCCGGTGAGATGCTGTAGAACAGGTCGGCTCGCTCCAGCAGCAGCTCCTGGCGACGGCGGTCGGTGACGTCAGCGGACCGCCCGCTCACGGCAGCGGCCGACGTCACGGCAGCGGTCCCACGTCACGGCAGCGTCCCACGTCCCGGCAGCGGCCGACGTCACGGCAGCGGACCGCCCGCTCACGGCAGCGGCCGACGCCACGGCAGCGGTCCCACGTCACGGCAGCGGTCCCACGTCACGGCAGCGTCCCACGTCACGGCAGCGGCCGACGTCACGGCAGCGGACCGCCCGCTCACGGCAGCGGCCGACGCTACAGCAGCGGTCCCACGTCACGGCAGCGGTCCCACGTCACAGCAGCGGTCCCCACGTCACAGCAGCGGCCCGCGTCACGGCAGCGGACCCACTTCACGGCAGCGGTCCCACGTCACGGCAGCGGTCCCGCGTCACGGCAGCGGCCCAACGTCACGGCAGTGGATCCACGTCACGGCAATGGACCCACGTCACGGCAGCGGCCCACGTCACGGCAGCGGCCCCATGCCACGGCAGCGGACCCACGTCACGGCAGCACTTCCACGTCACGGCAGCGGCCCCACGCCACGGCAGCGGCCCTCCGTCACGGCAGGGAGTGAGATCCCGGCGTCAGGGCAGAGCAGAGCAGTCGCGCGCCAGGGCACGGCACAGAGCGGTCATCACGCCACAGCATGGGCATGGTGGTGCCGAATTAGAACGCAGGACAAAAACTACACTGCAACCGCCGGCCCATCGCCACGGCTCTTTATCTGAGTATCCTGTCCGACACACTGCGATGAGCAAGGCCATTACAATTTGTACATGCCACCGGACAGATAATGTGATGAGCCGGCGGTCACGGAGAGAGCAGCGTGCTTCGGTCCTGATGTCTCGCCGCCAGCGCCGCGCAGGCCGCCCTGCACCGACCACTGACCTGGAAGTTGGCTCTGGCCTTCTCCAGTATGTGCCGCTGGTGGATGTCGTAGATCTCCTGTCGCTCGTCTTCGGCCAGACTCTCGAAACACTCCCGGCCCAGGAACAGCACGCGCACCTCCGACAGGGACTTGCCGGGCGTCACATAGCTGGTCTCCTCCAGCAGCTGCTTGAACTGGCGCCGCAGCCTGCGGCAGCGGCGACGGCGTGTCAGCGGCGGCCGCGACCGGCGCTGGTCACGGGTCGGGTCACCGGTCAGGTCACAGGTCAGTCTCAGCAGCGCCGGTTCACAGCGCGGCCATCCCACCCGCGTCTGGAAGAGGCGGGCGTCGCGCGGGCCTGCCACCATCGGCGCTTGCTGTGCCGCGAGGGACGAGGCGACAGGACGCGGCGGCGGCGGCCGTGAGCTCGCGCAGTAGTGAGAGGCCGAGTGCGCTGACTGTTCAGGGCCGCGGCACAGCTCGAGGAGCCCACAACAACAGACAGCCGACGTCCCGGCGCATGTCAGACCACTGACCGTGCCACATGCAGTCCTGCACTACACACGACACGGCCTGCACCTCAGAGACCGGCTCCTCTTGTGCGCCGCCCTCAGTACTTGATAGTCCGTTGGACCTCCTCAGCCCTCCACCCCTCGTCCGCCGTGCCGGCTGGGCGGCGTCCGGTCGAGTGGAGCCGGACCCCGTCCGTCGCCGGCCACCAGCGCGCCTGAGCGTGCCAGACCATGTCCCCACCACGCCGCGCACGCATGCTGGCCGCGCGCCCCGGCCGCCGCTGACGGCTGAGCGGCGTCCGGTCGGGTGGAGCCGGACCCCATCCGTCGCCGGCCACCAGAGCGCCTGAGCGTGCCAGACCGTGTCCCCACCACGCCGCGCACGCATGCTGGCCGCGCGCCCTGGCCGCTGTTGACGGCTGAGCGGCGTCCGGTCGGGCGGAGCCGGACCCCATCCGTCGCCGGCCACCAGCGCGCCTGAGCGTGCCAGACCATGTCCCCACCACGCCGCGCACGCATGCTGGTCGCACCGCACTGCACGGCGGCCGCGCACTGCACCGCCTGAACCGCGGCCGGGACTGCACACATTCAGCAGCGACCGCGTCGCGCTCAGCGGCATGGGCGAGCAGTTTGCCAGCGGCATGGCCGTCAGAGCCAGGGTGTCTCCAGGCGAGTGCTGAACGCGGGAGGACGCAGCAGAGGCATGCCGGCGAGACTCAAGCATTGTACTCGTCCTGTAGAATATGGGGAGCGAAACAACACTAGGAATTGAATATAATATCTACAGATGCCCTCTGGCAGCATTAGCAAGATCCTATGACTACATGAACAAAATGTGTCAAGGCATAAAACCAAAACAATTGCTTTTCAGCGTCAAACCTTAAAATCCACAAATCATTCAAATAGCATGTACATTACACCACATGCGTAGGTTCTGAAAAAGCGCAGGACATGCAAATTAACAACAGATAGTGCGAGGAACTATCACAATATACGTGGTATAATTACCTTTTCGGCATCCTAGGTAGCGTTTCAAATAAAAGCCCAGATTAGAAGTGTTTGCCATTCATACAACACTGGGCTCCCAAATTCAAGATGACGAACACTCGACCAGTATTACGTAAGTCACCAGAATCATCCCTTTTCAAACACAAAAAGTCCACCAAACACCTGTACCTTGCTTTTAGCCTTACAGTGCAGTAAAAACATTCAACCATACGTTTTAGGTCTCCATAATTTTTCTTCTCAAGCACAAACAGTCCACCAAACACCTGTACCTTGCTTTTGGCCGTACAGCTCAGCAAAAACATTCAACCATACACTTTAGGCGGGGTGCATCACTTTGACAACGGCCAAGACCTTGATCAGTACGTCCAACACTAGGCCCGTCACCACGGGCTCCGGACTTCCAACTTTCAACGCACATTGCACTGGGTTGCCTGTTTGCCATTACGGTTAGTCCTCGTTCACCCAGGAATGCCACAGCCCTGGGGATTGGGGCACCAGCACCGCAGCTGGAATGGCCCAGGTGTATCCACACATATGAGAGGCGTCACCCTCGTCGGACGCAAGGGAGGGCTTGACATGGGCGGCGGCCTCGAGCACGCTGGAACCAAGCCCACGCTACGAAATCGACTTCTGCCACCGTTGCCGGACGGTCTGTCACCAGAATGGGACGGTCCGTCACCAAAGCCAGACAGTCCATCACTAGAGCCGGACGGTCCGTCACCGGAGCAGGACGGTCCGTCACCAGAGTGAGACGGTCTGTCACCAAAGCCGGACAGTCCACTACTAGAGCTGGACGGTCCGTTACCAGAGCGGAACGATCCGTCACCAGAGCGAGACGATCCGTCACCAGACCCGGGACGGTCCGTCACCAGACCGGGACGGCCTGTCACCAGAGCGGGACGGTCCGTCACCAGACCAGGACGGCCCGTCACCAGAGCGGGACGGTCCGTCACTAGACCAGGACGGTCCGTCACCAGACCGGGACGGCCCGTCACCAGAGCGGGACGGTCCGTCAACAGACCAGGACGGCCCGTCACCAGAGCGGGACGGTCCGTCACCAGAGCCGAACGGTCCGGACCGGGAGTTGGACGGTCCGTCATCAGACTCGGGACGGGCCGTCACCGGACCTGAGCGGTCCGGATCGGGAGCTGGACGGTCCGCCATCAGATCCGGGACGGTACGTCACCGGAGCGGGACGGTCCGGACCGGGAGCCGGACGGTCGGTGGGCGGGTGCCACGAAGGTCGGCCGACCGAGCCGCCGGCAGCGGACGGCCACAGGGATCGATACGCCCGCGCTCCGCCCCACGAATGGACAATGCACGGACTCTGGCACAAAGGCGCCGCTGGTCCCGGCTATGCAACACATGCAACCCCCACCTTACAGCGCCACAAAACATTGCCAAACAAAAACACAACTAACAAGCAAATGCGGTTTTCGTTGTCTCATGTCCGGTAAAGCCAGCGCACTGCTAGCTGTTATTAATTTCATCTGCCATGTTTCACTCATCCCAGCGTTACGCTTGGGGCCGAAATCACATTGCACTTAGTATAGAGGAAACATGCGAAACAAAGCAATGTTCCTGCCCTACTCCATGTTGCTGATGATGGAGACCTAAAAGAGAACAAGATGAAATGTGACACCTAGCATGTCATCAGCTCCACGGGTCGCATCCTTTCTGACCGTCTACTCCGCGGATCGTCTAAAAATATCTGGAACCACGAAAGACATCTCATCACCGCTGCAAAAAAACGCTTGGAGATGGATCAGCTGCACATGTTAAGTTCATCAGCCCCAAGAGTGCCTGATATAGCTAGCGGCGAACCGGATAGGAAAGCCAACGACCAACAGACTATAATATATGACAAAACATAAGGCCGATATCCACGTGCACAGGATCCATCACTCACGTGACAGGTCCATTAGCATTTAATATGACCAGCATCGTGCTGTTCGAGAACGACCATTGGCACGCAGCCAGCCCCTCCAGGCGCGGCCTCGACCGTGCAGCCCCGGCCTTGGCCGCTCCACATAAGGCCGAGGGGCCTCGGAGGACCGCGGGACCGCAACCATCACATGACCAGCTCCTGACCCCTGACGCCAGGTCACTGGCCGATCTCCGGCCCGGGTCAGCGACCCGTAACCCCCGGTCCTCGGCCTCCGTCTTGGACCGCCGCCCGGCGCAGGTCGGCGGGGTCTCCGGGGTCCGGGTCTCGGACCGACACCGGGCCCGGGTCAGCGGTCCGCACCGCCCGGTCCTCGGCCTCCGCCCTGGACCGCCGCCCGGCGCAGGTCGGCGGGGTCTCCGGGGTCCGGGTCTCGGACCGACACCGGGTCCGGGTCCGCCGTCGGTGCGGCCCCAGGTCGATAGCACGCTCGGCGCCGATAGATCGCCGCCGGAAATTCAATGGAAGCCGGCGCGGCGGCCCGGCCGCCAGGTCACGGCCCGACAGCGCCGGCGATTCACGACCGGCCGACGGCGGCGCGGGCGGGGGGGGGGGGGGGGGCGCCGACGGCCCGGCGCGCCGCGACCGCCGCCCGAACGCGACCAACGCGGCGCCGCGAGCCGGCGCTCAGAGGCGCGCGCCGGCTCGCAGACCGGCCGCCGACGATTGCTGCCGACTGAGGCCGACGACGCCGCCGGCCTCGGCAGCGTGACGGCCGGACGTGCTCTGGCCTCTGACGGACAGATCGGGCCGGCACCCGCGGCCGGACGCGGACCCGGACACCGTACTCATGTCATGACCGAGGCGCCAGGCGCGACGGTGGAAAGACAACCTCAGAGCTGCGGACTAGAGCGACAACCCGCGGCTGTTCCGCGCGCTTGACCCCCAGTCGGCGGCCGGCCGGCTGGTGGCACCGGAGGACACGGCTCGCGCCACTCCGAAGTGTATATCTCACCCCCAGCGACATTCGAGCGATCGGAAGGCGTGGGCGACTGGGTTTGGAGGGCACAGCCGCACGCGATATTGCCGAAGGCGTCACCAGCCACGACAGCGAGATGGGTGCATTACAGAACCAATGCTGGGAGAATAGTGGCGGGATCATCATTGTTATCGCGGGGATGGTAACCGCAACCAAGCCTCATCTCCCTGCAACGTAGTAACGTCATCGCAAGCGGCACATGCGTGTTTGCCATGGCCGATGTCTCTCCCCACATACAAAAAATCGCCTCCCCTATTCGCCACCCCGAATAGGCACCCCTGTACTCACTCCTGCTGGCGCGTCTCCTGCTGGATGGCGTTGAGATAGTTCTTGAAGGCCGTCTCGGCCTCGCTGCTGGCCAGCACCTCGAATGGAATGCGGGGGTCGGAGAGCTCGTCCACGTCGAGGTCCAGCCAGGCCAGGTCCTCGGGCGCCGCCACAAAGTGCCGCTCGAAGTCCGGGTGCTGGCGCAGACTCTGCTGCACCTCGGCCCAGCCGCAGCTGAGCAGCGCGCGCTGGTCGGGGAACAGCTCGCGGAACACGTCCGGCAGCGCCGCCAGGTAGCGCTGCACGCGGCGCGACACGTGCTCGTCGCGCAGCCGCTTGACGTGGCGCCGAAAGAGCCGGTGCGCCGCCTCCTGGCCCTGCAGGCCGACGAACTCGTGGAAGGCGGGCGCGCCGCGCAGCCGCTGCACGGTCGACGCCCAGGTGGCGCGGCAGTCGGTCACGTGTACGCGCACCAGCGACTGGAAGGCGTCCGAGACGAGGTCGGCCTCGTCCCGGCGCTGGCGCGCCGCCTCCGGGTACGGCACGATGCGGATGCGGCCGCGGCTACGGTCGATCAGCTGCGCCAGCGTCACAAACGCCAGGTCGACGTTGACGCTGTGGTGAGCGGACGTCTCCACCAGCGGGATGTTGCCCTTGAACTCCTTGCGGCTGGCCAGCCGCTCGGCCTCGCGCAGGTGCGACTCCTTGGCCTCGTCGTTCTTGGTGGTGACCAGCACGACGGGCTTCTTGGTGCGCACCAGGCTGTTCAGGATCTGAAACGGCCAGCGCCGGCTCGTTAACCGCCACGGTAGCCGTCGCGGCCTGGGACGCCAATGGCGAGTGACAGCGCACCCGGCAGGGACTATTGGGGGTTCTTCCACGTAACTGTAGTCGAGGCTGTTGTCGACTGACGAAAGGCGGTACGCTAAACGCTGTGAATGCCACAAGGCTCTTGAATTGTTTGTACGTATCATACGAATGAATTCGAGATTCTCGTAAGACTGCTAGCACCACGCGTTGCTAACGCGCGTGGGTCCGCGACAGCCTGTGCGGCTATCGCCCAGCCCTAACACGCAGAGCGGCGCGAACAGCGCCCTGTACAGCGAGCCGCCGCCGCCGGCGCCGGGGGAGCCGGGCCCGAGCGGCCGGTCGATGGCCGCCGCCACCGCCGTCGCCGGTGAGCCTGCCGCCGACCGGCCGTACCTGGACGGTGAGCTCCACCTGGCGCGACAGAGGCCGGCCGGACACCTCGCTCACGTCGAACACGCACAGGAAGCCGTCCACCAGGAACCTGACGGCGCACACGGGCACGCAACGGTCAGGCGCCTGCCGGCCGCGGCCACCGGCGGGCGGCAGTCACGGGTTGGGGTCGTCGACCAGTGCGGCCTGGTCCATCCTGGTCGCAGAGGGGTCTCAGTAAATGTCCGGTTCAGCTTCCAGGAGACGGAAGTGGCAGCTTCAGGTCTTTACGAAGGCGGGGGGGGGGGGGCATTCTTCGCGCGGACCTGACTGAGGGAAACACCCACCCTAAATGGAAATAAAGTGAGAAAACATCTATCCCCGTCAGACGTGACTGAGAAGCCCACCCAACGTAGACCTGACAGAGGGAAACAGTCACCCAGGTGGACCTGATCGCTCACGAATACCCACACCCGAGGACCCGACAGAAGGGGAAAGCCCACCCCCCAAATAGACATGACGGAAGAAAAAAGAAGGGGGGGCTAGTAACCACAAATGGGATCGACAAAATAAAATATCTATCCCGGTTTCTCTGAGGGAAGGAAAAGCCAACCTCGACGGGCCTGGGTGAAAACCCAAGCTGAGTGAAATGTTCCTACCCGGTGATCCTGACAGAGAGCTAGCCCCACATGAGGTGGTCCAGCTGGGTGCCGTGCCCTCGCAGTACATCTTACCGGGGGGGGGGGGGGGGGGTAACGGTAAGGCTCTCAGGGGAAACATCTCAACCGATCCCCTACAGCACGCGGACGTCGGGCGGAGCCAGGGTTAAAAAAAATCGGATGGAACTGACACTGGGTAGCAAATGAACTATGGGAACGCGTTCGGGGTGAGCCTCCCGGTCAGCCATTGCGATCGTCACAGGTCAAGATTTTAGCAAACGCGTAGCACGTGCTCTGCTCAGCTTTCAACAAATTAGCACGGTGCTTAAAAAACGTGCTGCGGTGCTCGCAGAACATTTCCACGTATCCTGATTTTGATCCGCAATATATGTTATGGAACATCGCGTATCTCCAGGCAAAAAATTAAACTACCTAACTTTCTAAAAGAATGTTCACAATAAACACAACTGATATCAGGAGACAGCCCATCGTGAAAACCAATAGCTCATGTTTTCGCACGATAAAACGTAATGGCGTCCATTTCTGCCATCATCTCGCTCCTTCCAATTCAAACAAAACAGGTATTGGTTTTCAGCAGGCTTCCGCAAATTGCTTAACAAACGTTGAGATATTTTGTGGATCTGGCATGTCATTGACAGCTGACATGAACGACTCGCACGACGCGTGCTGGAATTTCATTAACAGGCTTGAAAGAGGACAAACATCCAGTAGTGTCAACCTTTCCCAGAATGGATCCATGTATATCGTACAATTTTAACTTTGGAACGCTGGTTAGACGTATCGACATTTTGTGTCAACACGTCTGCTCTGTGTACATGAGCCTCATTTTAAAATCGTCCGTACCGTTACATCGGTAGGAATAAAATCACTAAGTTCCAGCATGAGACATGCCGTTGATTTATTTTTTGGTGCGATTAGACTTGGCGCGATGGTGTTACGAGCACCAATCTATCATGGATATCTATCATGGATATAAAATGCATGAAGCGTAGCACTAACTTTCCTCTACAGGTCTGCGGGAATTACAGTAAAAGGGGAAATGTCCGATAATTAGTGAAACAACAGAATAAATCAATAGTTATATCAACGTACCACGGCACATGACAAACACAGCAAACAGGTCATTGCACCAAAGACAGAACGGCATGACAACCTCCAACACCAATTCATACTTGTCACTAACAGCACAACATATTACGAACGCCATATAATCGCCAAAATTGATTGGCAGTGCAGTCTGCAATACATGAAGAGGCACGAAAACACTATTGCACAAGGCAGTCTCCATCTTACAAGCAACAACGTTGCGCCAGCGCAAACCTCACCTGCCCTCCGGTAGAACTTTCTGTTCATATTCCTTCTCGATGCCGAGCTGGTTTTTGCATATGTACATTAGCTTTTCGGCGGAGCACAGTCGCGTGTTGGCACAGCGCTTGATGTACGGATCCATCTTCCCAGCTGGAGGAAGTGCCCGAGCCGAGTCAGGTAGAGGTCACGGACTCGCGAACGGTCATGTCGCGCTTACACTCCTGCGTCACGGACGAGCACGGCGCAGCGCTCAACGACAGCTTTACAAATGCACGTGGTAATTTTACATCAAAGTGATTAACTCAGAGATATTGTACATGGACAAGAAGCAAGAATTTCTTGAGCAACAAACCCAAAACGAATACCGCATTTGATAATCACATTTGTCGTATTTTGGATGCTTTGTTTTCTACACGTGCACAGCTGTTAATTTTCACGTTGCAAAATTTATTAGAGTGGTTTAGAATACTACAACACGAGCAACCGCAACCAGTTCGCCGCCTTCGTCAGGTCCTATAAAGAGCCCACGGCCTCAACACAGTAGAGTTGTATATCAAAATGTTACACTTTTGCATGTTTCGACATGCTCGCCTTTGGTTCTTCCGAGTCAGGATCAATCAGGTCGGATCAATCAGATCAGATCAATCAGATCAATCAATCAGGATCAATCAGGTCAGGTCGTGGAAAAGATGTGGTTCGATGGCTCGATGAAATAAAAAACAAAAAATTTGGTTTACAAAACACTGCTCGGTATCCTCAAGGTCACGGACGGCGTTGCAGGACAGGTCACATTCCCATATTCTCGCATATCCTGGGCAACTTCTTATTTGTAAGATACATGCTTCAGTGCCCAAGAGCATGTATTGTTACGATGGTCGGATATACATCCGTTAACTTCAATGGGAGTAGTGATCTTGGTTAGTGGAGTGAAATGTCAGGGACAAGTAAAACCATTCCATAGATTGTTTTGACCATTCCATGTCATGAGATGTAGGCCTAGTGGCTGAAACATTACCAGGTCAGACATAAGCAGCGTTTTGAAATTCCATTCCCTTATTGTTGCTCATGTAAGAACGTTGCGCTCAGACAAGGTATGCAAAACCGGACAACAGGTGTCAAAGGATATGCTTATGGTGTAGAATGACCTCGGGACTACAAAACAGATCAATCTTCTTTTTATGGAGGTCAAGGATGATCTTACATGGGTTCACATATGATCTAGCAAGTACCATGACAATACACGTATCCCATAGCTACATTGTATCCCAAGCGTTGCCCTCCAACAGTGTGGAAAAAATGCGTCGAACGTTTCCACAAATCTGCAAAGAAGCAATCCACCCAAACTGACTCATGATGGCCCCAAACATGGTCAAGCACGCATTGTGTATGGGACAAGAACGTACAGGAAAGAGACATTCAGGTCACAAACAAAACAACGTACCTTGAAACAAAATCAGCCGCGAATCGGGTACATATCTTACTACCAAACTGACCAGGAATAACCCGCCATACTACATCGTTCAGGAACGCGTATATTCTGCATGCATAGACAGAGCTTTCAAATACCACGCAAATACCCTTTTGCCCTTATTTCGGCACTACATCACCAAAATAGATGGGCAATTTTCACCAATGACGGCTCTCGCATAAGATTAGGGTGGCCTGGCTTCACTTCGAATGACGTCATTGTGCGCATATGAACCCATTGTCGTTAAACGACAGCAAGGTATTAAACAACACAACAACAAAAAACTAATGACCTCCAGATTCGGGATCTGGGAAGTGTTTGTGATGTCATTTTGATGTGGCCTAGCAGGCACGATCAACCACATTTTGGACACAAGACAGCCTATTGCATATTTGAGAACGCTGAAACTTTGAAGTAGCTTAAGCCATTGGCTCGAAGGGTGTTTTATTAGATCCCAAGGGTGGTAACAATTTCCCCACCGACCAGCTGGTCGAACAGCGCTGGAACATGAAAGAGAAGGAAATGGCGCGAAGCTTTTTTAAAAAAAAAATGTCGCATGGTCCGTAGTATTGTCAGCATTATTGTTATGTTAAGATCAATCCTTCAGATGCTTAAGATTAAGTGTAATGCCTAACAATAAAGGAAACTTAAACAGGAGCCAGCGATGACTTCTGCGCTGCATTACAACAGGATAACCAAGTGGTCAACGAGGTCACAAACATTATTTTCAAAAGAGTCGCCCGTAAATCCGCCGTTATTCCCGTGGCCTGAATTGGATGGAAACCCTTTCATCCGTTCTACTTCAAATGATTGGCAGTATCGAGAAACCCAGAGCAACGAAACCTGGATCCCAAATGGTCGACGGTGGAGGCGCCGTGACTCTGGCCGGGAAACAAAACTGCGAAAAACGAGAAGCGAACACAAACACAACGAGACCATTTCATACCCTACTTCGAATGCCAGAAATGAAGGGCGGCGAGTCTCAGTACGTCATCGCAGTTGCTTGTCGCAAAAAGGTGTTTTGAGGAAAGCCATGACGTGCCGCCGACCCTCTCACTGTGATCAAGAACGTCCCCCCGCTGCCACCCCGAACGTCTCCCCGCTGCCACCCCGAACATCTCACCCCCCCCCCCCCCCCCGCCGCCACCCCGAACGTCTCCCGCTGCCACCCCGAACGTCTCACCACCTCCCGTCCAGCACCGCCAGCTGGGCGTCCCACTGTGTCGGCTGATTCCACGGCGGAGCCGACGGCGACGGACCGACCGACCCGCGCGGAGGAGGTCAGAGCGGAGGCGGCGGCCGAAGGGGGGCCGCTGCGGAGGCGGGGGTGGGGGGCGGCATAACGGCGGGACGAGCCAGGAGCGGCCGGTGACGGATAGCTCACATGCCCCGACCCTGCTGCGTCCCGCTCAGCCGCAGGTGACCCAGCGACCCATGCATGAAGGCGGCGATCACGCGCGTCATGTCGCGCCAGCCGCGCACGCTGGGTGCTGACCACCACAGGCATGAACAGTGGGCGGACATAGGGCGGGGAGCACCACTTCATGGCTAGAAGTGGTGCGAGACGTGGTTGAGCACACGCCGACGTCCTGACGCGCGCCATACACGTTCTGTTCCGATATGTATGACCGGCGGCTTGTGTTGAACATCTGAGCACCGCCTGAGCAGCGCCCGATCACATCTCCCCCGGCATTGACGTTACACGAAACCACCAACGGTTCGAATTCTTATATCAGTGACATATCCTAGCACACAGCAATTTGCCTGCACTGACTCACGTTCGGCACAAGATCGATGTACGCTCTGGTTTCTGACAGATATCGCAAGTAATGGTTCGGTAGTCCTTATCCTCCCATTATATCTCGGTATACAGCCCAATAGGGGAAAGTACAGGACAAGAAAAAGATGACGAGATACTGCGAGGCGGGCAAACCGCGATGCTGATATCTCCAGATGACGACAGAGATGAAAACCAATGACAGAACAATGGTGGACCAACGTGAGACGTTGTCTGCTCAGCAGAAGTCACACAAGCCGAGGCTCACCTTTAAACGGCTGGAAGGAGGCATCATCGATGAACTCCGTCTGCTCCACCACCTGGAACTGGAAGGTGATGCCTTCCTCGGAGATCTTGGCCACGTCTCCCCAGTACATGAAGTGTTCATTGTTGACCACCCGGCCGCTGAAGTCCGTCTGAAAGGGGGCCACACCGTCCGCTGACCGCACTTCACACCTCACCGCACTTCACACGCACTGCCCCTCGCAGCTGCCCACACGCCGCACCCACACTTCGGCCACCGAGGGAAGCCTACCGCCTCAGCGCCGCGGCCGGCCGGTTGGCGGCGCTCAAAGAGTCTCACCCCCACGCTCAGAGGACCCAACCCCGACGCTCAAGAGGGCCCCACCCGACGCTCAGAGAGCCTCACCCCGATGCTCAGAGGGCCTCACCCCGACGCTCAGAGGACCTCACCCCGACGCTCAGGAGGCCCACCGCGACGCTCTGAGAACCTCACCCCGACGCTCAGAGAATGTCAACCGACGCTCCGAGGGCCTCACCTGACTCAGCACCGAGATGTGCTCCGTGTAGTAGTCGTCCGCCGACGTGCGCACGAACCGGTTGCAGAGGCACGACTTGCCGACGCCCACGCTGCCCTTGTCGCGCTCGGAGCCGGACAGGCCGACCACGGCCACGTTGAAGGTGCGGCCCGACTCCGTCTTGCGATGCATCACCCGCTGGAGGGTGGCGGCCGCCATGGCGGCGGGCCGGGTGGCTCACTGGAGCACCACCAGCGGCGGCACTGTGGGCACGGAGCGCGGCGGCGTCACCAGACGGGAGTACAGAGCACCGCTGACGGTTCTGAGGACAGGACGTCGTAGGGAGTCATGGATTTTTTAAGTTCTATCATCTCAGACAAGTCAGAGGCTAGCGACGAGGTCGGTCCAATCCTTGGTGATGACATGGTGGTGAGATTCCGTGTTAACAGCGGGTGAGCACGGATCGCGAAATCGATGTAACAAAACATTACAGCTTTCAGAGAAAAAGATTCTTCAAACTTAATTTTAATAGAAAAGTCATTGCTGTACATTTCTGCATTTCAAAAGCGGTATTGTGAATGGCCAAAATGTTTAGAGATCACCTCAATTAGGGTCACTAGGCCACAGTTTTGAGATTTTAGTAAACACAAATTTGAAGATAACCAAAAAATGCACTGCATCATTGTGAGTTCAGCAGCATGTGGTTTTGTACAAATATATAAATTCATTTGAGTTGTGGATGCTCAAAGTCACCCTTCTTGGTTGACCTAGAAATGTCTGAAGCTGTAACTCCTCAGCCAATGCTAAAACCTTTCTAAAAAATGATATAGCTGAATTCAGGGTATCAGGGTATCAGGGTATTGCCCTACTGATACTTCCAGCCAAATATAAAAGCACAGGTTATTTTGGCCTCTTCACCTGTCAGTTTGTTGTGGAATGGGCCAGTGCATCTTGATAGCAATTATTTTCATCCACTGTCATCATATATTCCACCAATTAGCCAGCTGACAAACCAATTTTGAAGGAGAGTGCCACAATCTACATAATTACTCAAGTTACAGGATGATACAGGATGATACAGGATGCAACAATTATCTTCTTAAAATACAAAATGTGTTTTTTTTATAAAAAAAGCCCTGAAGATGTACAATGAAACAAATCTACCAAGAAGCCCTGAAGGTGTACAGATGAAACAAATCTACCAAAGAACTGACAAGCACTTTATCACACTTCTTAGCATATGAAATAATGACATATTATTTCATAAACAAGACTTTAAATGAGAAATTGAATATATGCCAATCTAGAAATCCGTTTTTGATGCAATGCTAGCATAAACACATGCCAAACAACAAATCAAACACACACTTCAGGCTTAAGCCTCCCCAGCTCATCCACATCTACAAATAGTATAGATGTGTATGACCTCACCAGGCTATACTCATCTATAGATAGCCAGTTATTAGTGTGACTGTGGAGCCCTTTAGACCAAAAGGTATTCAATTCAAGTTCTAGGATATTGTATAATTGATGGCCCATTATGTCCAAATGCCCACGGCCATATGATTACAACAGAGGGATTTATGTCCCTATCATGGTAATGTCCAATATCCTCAATTAAGTGCTGTTCACATGGCAAAGGCCGGTTCCCTATACTTTGGCGATATTATGCATTGCAACCAAGGCAATGCAGCCTTGAAGTAATCAAGCCATCTCAAACACAATTATCATACTCCGAACATGTCCTTGCAGAGAACAAACCTTCTGTCATAGAGCGAACAATCCACTTTACATTGACTTGCAGTAGATGATGTTACATACACTCTTCCAACAATGTAAATCATGTGCAAACAAGTAATTTTCCTACTAAGTTTTGCTAAAAAGAGGGGCAGTCAAATCACTCCAAACCTTGAATTAGCCCACACAATTCTGGGCTAATCACCCTACCCATCATACCATATCATCACCATCTTATCCATGCCATATCATATCTGCAACATAAGTAGTAACTAGAGCTTACAGATCATTCAACTGGACAGCCATATAATGCCCATAATGCGCAGCAGATCTTTGAAAAGAAACATAACTCCCTGACTATCTGATCGCTTATAATAGTTGCATCACTTTCATTGTTAATAAGAGCCAGCAACTTTAAACACAGTCCTTGACAACCCTTGATTTTGAGTGCAGTTTCTAAAAAAAACATGGGTGCATATTTGCCTACACTGTTGGCATGCCCAAAAACAACAGAAGTTTTATGGTTACATGCACTTCAGCACTACATGACACATTCAGGAAAAAAGTATTTTAACAAAATGGCATCATAGGCAGTGAAGAATGGATGTGGAATGAATTGTGTGTCTGCTGTACCACTCCTTTAAGTAGTGCATAGCAAAATTGTTCTCATTTCTAAGTTATTTATAAACTCTTCTGCCCTGGACCCATGCTGTATTTTCACAAACACAGCAGCATAAAAGACCAGGTATACTAATGCTACATGTCAGCTCCACAAATACACATGGTAGGCATGTAGTTGTTACTATACCAGGCCTAAGATGGCATGTCCTGATGCTGCAAAAAAAAATGTTCTATCATGCTCACTGCCACAGATGCTCAAACTGGTAAAATAAATATGTATGGAGTGCCCAAACTCAGACCTCACACCCTTGTGACAATGATATTTTGAAGAAAAAAAATTAATCATAGCATAAAATGTGACCAAGATTTTGCACTTTCTTTGTGTTGCATATACACGATGAAGATTCCAGAGATGAAACAATATTAATATCTTAATTCTTTTACAATTTAGTCCAAGCCTTTTGACAGGTAGATTTTAGCAATAACCTCTCACACCAAGGTAGCATTCCCCATTGTGGAACACCATCTAAAGTTGCAGCCTATGACATAGATAAGTGCAGTTCCTACAGCTAGGAGGATTGTCACTTGTACTTGATGTAGGCACTTTCAATATCAAAAGTAGCAGCTCAGGTCCAGGTAGGTATCTGGCCAATGGAGAACACTGCCCCAGTACCTTGATGTTTGGTTCAGTGGCACAGTGGTGCTTTTGGTGTGGTGTGCAGTAGTGCTTTTAACCAGAATACATTTTCTGCTGCTTACTTTTAATCATGTGGTACATGAAATACCATTTTAATAATTTGTGTCACCAAATTCACTCAACTGAGGTGTCCAATCACCCAAGCTGAGAATAAAGCTCTTGTTCACATCCAAAATGAATTTGATGACCAGACTACTAGGATGCAAAAAACACTAAAACACATTTAAATCATATGAATTGTCTGTGACAGCATGTGAAATAACCAATGGTAGTGTCTTGTATGAGTGTTTCGCTTGTAAAGTAGCTCCCCAAAGTAGCATTATGCTAATTCAAACTGATAACCTGTCATAGAATTCAATTCCAACAACGTGACAGTTTTAAAAGTCAATGCACATAAGTATGCATCTTAGTAGCAGGTGACACAATGCCACACTCACATTACAAAGCCATAGTAAACCAACAAAGGTACATCCAATAATAAGCATGCAAATTAGCTTGCCAGTCCAATATTTCAAAATCCAGGCTGTGTTAAGAAAATTCACCATGCTCAGCTGCTACAACAGCCAAATGTGATGTTGGCTGTACTGGTCATGAAGCAACATTTTATGGGAAACATGGAGTAGAAAGCAAACTGGTGATGTGGAACACAAACCACCCTCAAATTCAAGCTACTGAAGGTGGACTGTAAGTCAGATGGCTATGACCATGTCCGCAATTTTCAGGTACACTAAATTGGACCTGATTTGCATTTTCCACACACAAATGTGAATATGGTTAGTTCAGCATCCATTACATATCTTTCAGCACAACCATCTATAGTTTCGCTCACACACAGACCCCAACACGACAGTTTTCCTCCCTTGATATTGTTGTAACTACAATACCAGTGCTTCAACAGCAATGCTAGATGGTTTTCACAATTGGCATGCACATCACAATCACTTGTCTGCACGGACAAAAATAACTTGAGTCTCAATTGTCAAGGCATGCATAGCAGCCATTTTGCTCAAATGCAGCAATTTTCTGACACTCACTCCGGTAGTCAGAAAGCTGGATGATGACGTGATTACTTATGCCCATTTCCCATGGTCGCAGCTGTTAACAGCAACTCAGCCTCTGCGCATCCTCATGGAAACACGCAATTCCAATGCTACCGGGCCGAATCTATATCATTGCACCATGTTGCAGCGGTTTTCGAGAGAACACAACAATTTGTGAACCGAATTTAAATTGAATACCAACCTTCTATACCACCTATGCAAATTTAACGGCCACCTATTGCCTCATCCAAAAAGGGTGTGTGATTCCCTGAGCACCCTGCTGCAAAAGCTGCGCTGATGCTACAAAAACATTTAATGTGGTAGCATTAAAAGGATTTGGTAGCGAAATCTAATCTTATGTACGTAAAATTTAACGAATGGGGCACACCTCCCGCGTGAGCGGAAAGATCGACGGGATTTGACGTATGATGGCAAAGACCGTAGGATCAGTTACAAAGCCAGTGCGGGTGTTAGAAGTCATTGAACCCTTGGAGATCCGAGGTCCCCGCATTGGCTCTAAAGACCCTCAAGGATGCAAAACGGTACATTTTTTTCGTAGAGGTCCTCGACAGAATGGGGCCAGGTGCACCTCCTTAGCCAAGGCGGACAGGCGCCTCTGGAACCAAAATGGCCCTGGTCCTCCGAGGTTACTAGTTGTACTTCTTTTGTAAAAATGGAAAACTGTTTCGGCGTTGTTCTCAGTCGCTCTAATATTCGTCCTAATGATGTTCTGTAGCCTTTTTCATCGACGCTGTGTAGTGAGACATTTAGTCCCTGTATAGCAGCCTATGACCTGGCTTTCTGACGTCTGGTTTTGGGCCTTTGCGGCTCTGGACGAATAAGGTTTCTGAATCAACTGATTGCGGAATACACAATAATTACAGCCAAGATATCACCACTATTTACGGGCATTCGCCTTCACCGTTCAATCTCCTGGTGCATGCGGGATAAGTCAGGGTAAAATTTAAGAGCTCTTACGAGAGAACGAATGACGGCAGTGCGATAGTGCTCAGATCATTCACTACTCGCGCCAATGCGCATGCCTGCAGCAGCAGATTTGCGACGCACGCTCGTCGCAAAGGTTACCTACCCGCATCGATGTCAAGTACAGCAAGTGTCAACACTTAGGTTAGCGCATCGGTGAATCCCACCACTGCTTCCTGCTGCATAGAGGCCTGTTGTTGGCGAAGGCGGGTCTCGTCTCTGAAGTCAACGAATATATCGTCGACACATTGGGAGCACCCACATGTGCAGCTAGAAGTTCTAATTTTTGAGCGCGCTGTCATTTAGTCAGCACATTTACGTACAGAGAAACAATCATTCGAGGAGTGAACACATTGCAACGCCATCTACATCTCAGCAGACTGGACCGCTGAAAGGCACACTGATCATGACAGTACCAGTGCGATGAAACTGGGTTGTGGTAGACAGTCCAATATGATATCATGAGCCGCAATATTTTGAAGAGGACTTCTGCACCTAGTTTTAGTGAAGCCAATAAAATCGGTGGGTTTGCTAGATTTCATAGCATCAACGCACTTTCCTATTGATCCCAGGCTATACCCGGCAATGTGTTAGCTTCAGTCAGGCCCTTAAGTACTTGCCAGCTAGTAGATAGGTGTCGGGATCTAAGGCATAATCAATGTCACAAGATTTTCCGTTTTGTGCGTTTTTACGTTAGCGTGAACATAACCAGGGCTAGTGAACACAAATCTTACATGTAACTTCTGGAAATTGCTGCCCACCCACCAGCACGTTGGACGCACTGATCCGGTCTTTCAAGTCGTGAAGCGAGGAGACGAACCGCGCAGCGTGTCCGAGCTTAAAAAAAACGAATACAGACTCCTATGCCTCCTAACCCCGTCAAGCAAACGTCCGTGCTCGATTTCATCGCAGGAAATCCTGGTCACAAAGAGCCAACTGAAGTCACTTGCATACGGACCGAAACTCTGGCAAGCAACGTGCTTTCATTGTAAGCAGGCGCCTTTAGCTGGTCAGCACCGTTGGTGGCATCCACATGAAAAGCAAAATATAAAAACTGCTTGGAGTGATCTAGTGTCCCAGACGAGCCCAACTGATAGAAAAAGCAAAACTGCAAGTGGGTTTCACTTGTTTTGCTACAAAAACAATTTACTTTGTATTCAATATCATTATTTTCGGGACAATTTTTAAAATGTCTGAGCTGTGCGCGCGGCTGAGAATGACGCACATTTCTGACGGTCCTTTAGTACGCTCAAGTTGGCCTGTAGAAACCATCTTATTGATGTACTGCCAGTTATGACAGTTCATCAGGTGAAGTTAGCTTTGTGATCGAAAACAGACGTTTCAAAGGAAACAGACAGTTGTAAGATGAATTTGGAAACTATGATAAGGCTTTGCTAGTGCGTGTCCCAAAAGAACGCACGTGCAGATAGATACAAGCACGACCACAATTTTCCCTCGGGTGTCTATGTAGACGGGTGAAAGGTCCTTTAACTGATCCATCTCAAACTTAGCCGGTATAGGCGATCAATTGCAAGTTGGCGGCTCTTCAGGGTTGCATAGGGCCTGTAATACTACATATTACGATATAGGCCGGCACGCTGCATATATTTGGAAGGCTCTCTGGAATGGTCATAGTTGACCCTACATGCCTCATAATTATGTTTCTTGGCAAATATGTCCATTCGGGACATCTTGATTCACGTACTTCATTCATTCAACACCAATTTCCCCACTATTCTGGTCAGACTGCGCGATGATGGAAAGTAATACTTGATGGTAGAATTATTGGTATATGTTCAGCAACCAGACTTAGGGCAGGTACCCCATGCTATCGTTCACATGGGTTTATTGTACCTACCTTTGTCTCTACAAATTTAAAACACGGCAGGATGTTAAAGTCCATTTCTTGTCCCGCTTCAAGTGTTATACGATGGAACGCCTACCAGCATTTACAGACTAGCAAGGGATACAGCGGAGTTGGCATAGAAAAGTAAGGTAAATCCTGTTCACACAAGCAGAGGACGAGGATTAAATTTGGTAGCAATTCTAACTCTACGAAAACCGGACAAAGAGGAGTGAAACTCATCGTTCGTCGCCATGTCTACCAAAATAAACTGTAAACGTTGTTAACACGGAAGCGACGCAGAAGTTGCATTCGATGGCACAACCAGCGAGCAACCACGCTGCAACGCTGCATTACTGGATGTTGTCCGCAAACTGTCTGCGGGTAGGACCAGATAATGTGCCGCCCTCAGCCGGCCTGGGCTGGCTCTGGGCGACAGGGGTGACCAGGCGCCAGTCGGGGGCTTTTTCAGCCATGTGACGCCGGTCAGCGGCGGACCCTGTAGTGGCATTACGTACGGCTTAGAGTTGGCGTTGGCAGCGGTGGCAGGCCTCGGGCAACACCGGACGCTGTTGTGCGGACCGTGGCATATTCCATGCACAATGGCGTGCTATTTCAGTTTAAGGAAGTAACGGTTAGCTCCACTGTTTACTTTCTGAGAATCTGACTAGCATTCATTTCCGGTGTAGCGATTTCCAGTTACATATGGCTAAGCAGACTCCTATCAGGATCAATGATCAGACGTTTCCTCCTCGGAAACAGCATCTAATCCCAGGCATTTACATTGTCCACGAAACGCCATTGTCTGTCAGTGCCGGAAAGCTGGCAGTGCATCGAGCAGTGTTCGCTCAATTCACGGCCGATATGGTGGTCAAGTCGGACTTTGCTTAAATTATTTTTTGTTTAGGTCGCCGCGTGCCTTCGTCATTTGGTGGTACGTAATTTCATTCGTCATTGTACGAGTCCGGTAGGTAGTCTATGATATGTCCCTATAAACAAACGTAAAACGATAAACGAGTATGAACAACAAACGCTTTTGCAGCCAAACCCTCTACCTATTTTCAAGTGGGCAGATGAGTCTCGCTCCTGTTTATCCTAGATTTCGGGCATTTCAGATTTGGTACCAATAAACATGCTACGTTTTCGGCGCAAGTTTGTGGCGCGGCGACAAGGCACAATGCTCAAGATTCGAAATGCAATTTGTCATCACGTCCATTTGTAGACGTGTCAAATTGATGAAATGTAAATAAGTCAAAACCCGTATTAACCAAAAGCAGGGTTATCCCTTTGGTATTAGCTTTGTCGTGCGTGTGGTGTTAGTACTTGACCTCAGTGCCCTTGGATGTAAGAAAATACCTTTGACCGCGGCCGACATACTTTACCAATTTACGCGTTAAACAATTATTGGACAAAGTATACTACTAGAGTTGGCAGGAACTGTTCTGAATGTATTGTGGCTGCGAAGAAGCTTCGCAACCAGCCAGACCAGCCTTTGGTCATAAATGGCATTCGTGGTAGAACCGTGCAGTTCCATATATATATATATATATATATATATATATATATATATATATATATATATATATATATATATATATATATATATATATATATATATGTATATATATTGATAACGGCGACGGTTTTAGATGATTGCTCTTCGCTATGGCTGAATTGAAATTAACTTGTTATTGTCTCCACATGGTCTGCTTCTCCGATGTCGTAACCCAAGTTTGGAGGGAAGAACGGCTTCAAAGTAAGAGTCTTAGCTTTTTGTAGTTTTCACTTATTGTTTCATCAGATGCGTACGATTGATCGTAATAACAGTTTCCTCGAAATCCTCCTGGCTAGCTCAGAATTTCTGTCTGAAGTAGACGACCTTGCGGGAGAAATCTCATTTGAATCCCTGCTCATTACCATGAAAGTAATATATTTCATGTGCCATGTGTATACCAATATGTGTGTTGTGTAATGTTTACAACACACCAATGTTTGAAACTGTTGGTGTAACAAATGTTTGAAAGCTTGAAACACTCCACTGAGACTCAACGATACGCAAACATCATGCTTATATCCTGCCAATTCAACGTAACGTTATATTTTGGCTTTGATTTCTTCCCTATGGCATTCACCGCTGTCTGCGGCGATACCCCCGGTTTTGGAAATTAACACCACAAGGAGTGTTCGCCTCCTGATGTGTTGCCCTCCTAACAGCAAATGGCCATTAAAAGACTGAAGTTGCCACCCAGGAGGAGGCAGTGCAGGCGTCAGCGTCTCGCATGGCGCTTATCTTGCTCTCTCAGGTGTGCGGCACGGTGGGGAGATTCGGGCGGCGCGTAGAAGTCTCAGGAGCATCG